AGTGCACAAAGGCAAAACTACAAAAATGGTGTCTTGGCCCAGCAAGTTATGGACTTAACTGTATTTAAGCTTAGCTTGAATTGAACTAACACAACACAGATATTAGCATGTAATTAGTTCTTCTGAAATTAAAGGTTGCCATGGTGATGGTGACCGTCGGGTGACTTCATAGAAATTAAACTGAGAGGCACCTTTCAATATCAGGCTTATTGCACAAAGACAGGAATTCCTTGTTGTTTACAGCTTGATATAATAAGAGAGATGATACTGCTGAATATGCTGCTGTAGAATAAATGTTCCTGTTGTCATAAATGTGGAAAATGAAATAAGAAAAGTCGTGTTTTCTGCTGTTCTTGAGCTGTTTACAATAGAAACATTGGGGTAGTTGTATATTACTCCAACCGCCCCAATGACGCCTGAAACTCTTAATGCAAAATGTTTTGTTTGCCTCGGTAGTTACATTGCTTAAGAGCGCACGTGGTTTCCTATATTTTGACGAAAAATACAGATAAGTCATGGACAGAGACAAACTCACTTGGAGGTCTGTATGTTCCATTTTCGGAGAAACCACCGTAAGGGTGCAGTAACCTCTGCAGGTTCCAGGGGGCGCTCTGAGCAAAGATGGATGAGTCCTCCTCTATGTAGTGCACGTGAGGGAGTTTCGCCACCTGACAGGAACACAATCAAACTTAACTGTGGGTGGTAAGGAAAGATTAACAGGAAGTTGATTGTTAAATCAGGTGGGGGTAAAGCTGACCATTCTTCTTTAAAGTCTGTTTCACTGTTTCACGTTTTATTTGTGTATTTTTATTTTTTGACATAATTCAAGAATGCGCAGATACCAAAGGTGGGTCTACAACCTCTCAACTGTCAAGAAACTCTGTCTAAAATTACCACCAGCACTCATACTATACAGAGTTCAACTAATTCACGTTTTCTGTGTGTTTTTCAGCAAAGTTTCTGATTATTTTTGTTCAACTCCTACAGCTGAATGATTTCAAATGCTCCACAAAACCTCTTTGTTAACATCTGACATTTGATTTGAAATGCGGGTCTAAGGCGGGTGAGGAGTTCTTTTACTTTAAATCTATACTTACTTATAATTTTACAGATTTTAAAATAAAAAACACACATAAATACACACACACACCTCATCATTCTCAGTCCATCTTATGCGACTCGAAATAAATAATCCTGAAAACGCCGCCAATATTGAACCGAAAGTAGTACACTTTGTCTATCATTCATTCCAGACTCCCGTATTCTCACTTTATTTTGGTCAAGTAGGTCAAATATACACAGACTGCACAGACCTCTGCAAAAAGCTGCAGTCAGAAAATCCATATTACTCCAATCTTTTCTGCCATTAACTCGTCTTGTGCCAGTATACAATGTTACAATGTAACAGTGTTATTCAAGACTATAGCTGCTTTCTTAGATCTGCCTTCCACCTCTTAGGATGTCCCGTTCGGAATGTCTTAACCTTTAGAAAATGGATCTGCTATGATTTGACATCTATTTCCCTGTGTTCCCCCTTTTGCCTTAAAGGTTTAAATCACACTTTTCCCGAACACATCCAGTGAAGTGACGCAATTACCAGGTGAAGGACGTCACTACTCAGTTTGACCAGAAAGCCACGCAGTGCTCCTGAGTAGGTCTGCAGGATCTCCACCAGGTATCCTCTCCTGGCTGCTTTACTTCGCAGCCTCCTGATGGTCCTCTGGAGTTGAGACTCGTGCGTCCCCTGACGCAATACAACTATGTACTGTCCGGGAATGCGCCAGGCTACCTGGACAGTAAAAATAATGCAGCGCACATGTGATCTTCATGTCCACGTGCACAGGAGAAATGTAGCATGCGTGCAATAAGTTGGATTTGTATATATATCTATATTGTGTGTATTGCGCTGTTTTCACAATAACACATGAATAAGTATTATCTCCCAGCATGTGAGCGCACATTTTAACGAATCTGTATCTCAAACTGGCAGCTTGTCAGGTACATCAGCAAAGATTGTTTGTTGAAATATTTGACCAAATATTTTACCCGTTTTTGGAATAATGACAGGTGCTGATGACTGAAGATGCGCATTTAATGCCTTTGACGCAATCACTATGCCATTACCTTGTTGCACCTGATGAACTCGGCTGCCGGGTCGGTTCCGGTTTCAGGATCAGTCCTGTCCTCGCCGACCAGGTCCAGGATCATCCCGTCGTCCTCGGTGTAGTCCTGTGCACGCACGGCCAGAGATGCGCACAAACATAAAGCCCAGCCAATCCAGGCTGAGGTGCAACGCATTCTTCACACCTCTTGAACTGTCCCCAGTAAAATGATAAAGAGAGCTATTAAATTACACCACTGATGTTTTTATTTTTTATTTCAGTCTGACTTATCCTGATGATAAGTCTCCAACAGCCGCGTACCCTCTGTGTCTGGAAGTTAAGATAACTCCTCAACAATCTATTCTGATTTTTTTTTTTTTTTTTGGGTGGGGGGGGGGGAAGGAGTCCAACATTGATGCTTATAACTTAAGGCGGGGACTGGTGACGTTTCCATGGCTCACGCCACCTCTTTTTGTATCGAATGATTGTCCTCCGTTTAAAACACCTCTTACTGTGGAGGAGTCATGTTTCATGCCCCCCCAAACCACCCTGTAATTATTGCATGTCAATCTGAGAGAACACTTCCTCTCACTTCAAGTTGATTTGTTGATGTCGTTTTAGCACGCGCACTTATAGTGAACAGTATGAGCTGTGATTGAAAGTCTAAGTACGCGTAAACTCATTCTCCGTGATTGCGCACTCACAGGGAGGCTACGTTTATTTTTCATAGGTTATCTATGTTGTTTTATTATCTTTACTGTTTGTTTGTTTTTTATTTAATATGTGCGCAGGACTGCAGAATGCGACGCAAAACGCGTGCGTCTCTATTTTACTCTGACATACTGTACGCGTTTTTAACTTTAAGCACTCAAAACTGTTAGCAGTTTCATACACTTTCATTTAAAAAGAATAAGAAAAGTAATAATTATTACGACGAGTTATATGTTTTTTAAAAAAACTTTTTTTCAAAGCATGATCCCTTTTCTCTTTGAACTCAGGAAACTGTTACATAATACCCTCTGGGGCTCTGGAGGAGCCCAAATTCGACAAAGCTACCCGCTTGATTGTGTCACTGAGGTTGGTTTGGACTGAGCCCGAGGAATTTCACACCAGAAACACCAAAGTAGAATGATAAAATGTACATTTTGATTTTACAGCAACAGAGAAGCTACAAAAATATCTAACCTCTCTGCTATACATCATAAATTCTTGCATTGTGGAATTATTCTGTTATTACTGGTAATAGACTGGTAATAACGCCCGTTTTGCTATGCAAACAGCATATCCACAAAGAGAGACATGCAGAACTCTACAAATTCCTGCTACCAGTTTCACTTTGTTCTTCAACAGTTGGTGGCAGTAATGACTCAACAGGCAGTGTAGATAAGCGTTTTGAAAAGAAACACATGGAGATTTGTCACATCACGCAGGCTTATAGCTTATCCAGCTATAAAAGAGCACAAGTTCACTGAGGGGCCAAAATGTCTTAAATGAATTATTGTACACCGTATAAATGCAGTGCTGCACTCTGTCTAACAGACACACAGACATACTTTCATACAGTAAACAGTGCCATCTTCTGGAAATACTATATAACACTTAATTAGCTTTATTAAGCATTTCACAATGACAAGTGGTGCAAAACCGCTGATACATGGTCAGTTGCTTCCATTAGATGTAAAAAGAAAACAAAAGAAAGGCACATTCAAACAGCAAGATGTGTGAGCGATGCAGAAAGGAAGTATAAAAATTCATCGAGGGGACTCCTCACTATCCTGAGAGCAGTGTGGTACCCTGGAGGAGTCCTCTGGTAGTGTTGTCCCTCCCTCAGACCAGATGCAGAGTGGGACAGCTATGACACTGACTCTTCAGGGTCTCTGGGAGAAGTCTGACGCTGCTCAGCTTATGGCCACAGAAACCTGGCAGAACCTCAGTGTGTCTAAAATTAAATCAGAAGGAGTGGGGGTTGGGTGGGTGGGGGTACAGAAATAGAAGTCTGGTTCCAGTATTTTGTCCTCATTTTCTTACTTTTTTTGGTGCATCAGAGACAGGGTTTCGCTGAGCATGCATGTCTCTATCTGGCTGCAGAACTCTCTTGTAATTGCAAACACTCATGCAGGAGTTGCACAGTACAACCTCTTTTCTTGACTGCAGCTGGAATAAATGAGGCTCAAGGATTTTTTTCAGCATTAATGGTTTTCAGCCCTAGTTTCCAACTAATCTGCCCCTTTCAGTCCCAACCTTTTGTCTAGTGGCTCTTCCTTTCCCTCTGTTCCACTTTTCCTAACCTCTCTCCATTAAGCAAACAGGACAATAATAAAATGAATATCTACAGTGATTTAGTGCAGACCCATAGCACCAGCCTGCCCACACACACCGCTGCTGTCGCCATGTTCACCCACTACTCGATGGGCACTTAGCATTCTGAGCTACTCTGACAGACCAAAGGGAATCATTAAGGCCTCTGTCAACACCCACTTGTCTGTGGCCCATTAGGATACAAAGTGAGCGTGTGTGTATGTGTGTGTGTTAGGGAGCGTACCTTTCATCTTCAGCCACAGGACCCATGATATTTTCTAGGCTTTTTTCCTGAATTTCATGAGCCACAATGACCTAATAAACACACAATCTCCATTACCAAATCTATTTCTTCTTGGCAACAATCACATATTTCCTGTCTCTCTATCCACTAAACACACACACACATAGCATATACCTTAGGATAGCACTGGCAGAGGCTCCACACAGTCCCAGCGCACACCATAGTGACACCCAGAACGCACAAAGTAGCAAAAACATGTGGCCGCTCCTGCATCATGATGAAGAGGCCAACTGCCAAGACACACAGGCCGGCCACTATCAGTCCATAACGATATGGTTTCCCCTCTACCATCGCACTGCTGCCTTGTCTCAAAGCGAGGCACCTGTCACGCAGAAAGGAAAAAATCTGTCTGGTACAGTTTCAGGGCTTGAAGGTGAGGGTGGAGAAAACTCAGTTAGAGTTCCACTCTGCTGATTATTACAGCCTGCAGACAGCCTGCCCAAGTCGGGTATACAATTGCAGGCGTGTACTTGTACCTGGTAAGTCACCTTGCCTCAAGCTGCTGGCAAAATGAGTCTCACAGCTCTGCTTGGGAACAGAGTTGAGTCTACATTTATGTTTGCTTGGATTAGAAATGATTTTAAATATGTAGACATTTACATTCTTTGCCTTTCTGGCATTAATTTCTTTTTAAAATAAACAATCTCTCATTTATAAGTGCAACACCACTCGCAGGGAGCCTCGTGGCTAATAATTCACTCACATTTATAGTGAAATCACAACAGTATAAACAAAGCTGAGTGATGAACAACACTTCCCTGTTAAGGTTCTGCTGCTGTTTGGTAAGGCACTTTGCTTTGGAATATTCTACAGATACAAAGAGGAGCTGTGCAGCCGTGAGAAGGGGGAAAAAAGAAAGTTATTACGTGTGGAGAAGAGTGCCATGCAGCCACAGTAGTAGGTCACATAAATTCATGCAGGCCAATAAAATCCATCCATGAACTTGGTTGTAAAAGTTGAGCCTACAACATGTTGGTCTCAAGAAAGCCCCCCCTTAGTACAAAGAGTAAAAGCAGTTGTAGTAATCATTTCAATTTCTTTCACAATCAGTCAGAACACACATAGTTATTAGACAAAAAGGCCAAACTGGGGCCCAGTCTGTAAAAATATTAAGTTGTTAACCAGCTGCAGCCTGTCGCTGTTTTTTGTCTTATGTTTGGGATCAGCGTGTCTGTGCTAAGGCACCTAAACGTCCCGCTGCAACGAGTTCACTGATAGCACCGGCTGTTCTTTCAAAGTCCTTGTGGAGAACCGCGGACACAAAAGGCACTGACATGAATTTAGCATGTCCACCTGAGCTTAAAGCTGTTCATTGCGCTCCTGGCTTTTCATCACTGCGTCGTAGGATGGAGGCGGCTCCATGGTCCACGGCGGAGGGGTGGACGGCATGGTGGGTTCAGGCTCTGGTGACCTGTTGACAGTGTCCGCCGACATCTCGCGACGTATTCTGTCCAATCTCCTAAATACGCGGAGAAAGAGAGCCAATGAGAAGTTATCAAAAATAAATTAATTGAAAGCTCTGTGGTCGACTCTTACTTCACTTTTCACTTCAAATGCTTTTAGTGGGTTACATTTGATCTCCTTTCACACTTTCACACTCCACAGCTGCTTCTTATCTCACTGCTTTTCCAGCAATGTGTTTCAACTACAGGTGTTCGCTTCCTTTTGGGAAACACATTATGTAGATAACATTACTGCACGTAGAACCCCGAATTCTTTAATCCCTCAGACAGTACGCTGTCACAATGAAGCGTTACTTTGCGTTTAGAAATACTTATCAGTCTGAGTTTTGTCAGTGTCTGGGGGGAGAAAAGGCCCTGATGATGAAAACTCTGCTCTTGCCATCTCTCTTCCACAGACAAAGACCAGACTGTATCTTGTTTAAATTTGCAAGCTATCATAGATTACTGCAGACAGTGCCAAGGGGAGTCATTTCTCCACATTTACATGTTTGCTGTTTTCTCCATGACCTACTTCTACAATCAGCACATAATCAGAGAATCTGTTGCTTTCCAGTTCTTGGCATGTCAGACTGCACACTAAAACTAACACAAAGAGATCTGTTCAACAAAAAGACACTTGGATGGTGTGTTTGTGTATTGTTTGGAAGTGTGCTCATTTGTCACCAGCAACAGAGAAAGGGAAGTCTGAATAGCGACAGGATTACAGAAAAAGAGAGTTTTTCTCTTTCCTGAGATAATGTTGCTCCCTTTTAGCAAAGTTTTTACAATCCACCAAATCCCCTTTAGTGCCATCATTAGGCCCATTTGTAGTTCTGAGATAAAAATCTCGACAAAGACTGGACAGATTAGCACATAAATTGATACACACACGCTTCTCGTTATCAGCAGAGCTGAATCATTTGCCCAACTCTGGCTTATCAAGTTCCTGCAAAAACTAATGACAGCACTGTTATTTAAGATGGTCAACATGTTACACATACCTGCTGACTAAAAGCATGATAAGTATGTTTACATGCTGACGTTGACACTCAGCACAGCCTTACTGAGCTGCTACAACTGTAGATTTCTAGTATTGTTGACTTATGATGCTGTCACAAGTTGCCGTGTTTTTTAATCTTCGTTAGAAATATCAAATATTTTACACTCGACAAACAAAAGCATGTCTTGTGTTCTTTGTTGTCCTTATTCCTAATTTATCATCACAAATGGAACTTGTATTGAAAACCACTGCTCCAGGATATCCCTCAGACTTAAAAATAAAAATATTACAACACCACAAAAGAACATCTGTGTCCAAACGACTGTGAGCTTCTGTCTCTTTCAGCTCTGTAGGTACCTTTGTATTGCCAGAGCCTGCTGTGGGCTGAAGCGTGTGCCTGTCCGTGGGTGCAGCAGAAAGTGTCCAGGCACAGCAATCTGAAGATTCTTCATGGCCATGCAGAGTCCACTGACCAGCAGACCTATGCCCCCCAATCCCAGGAGCAGCCCAAGTCCAAAGAGCAGGCCTGGCGGCTGGACCCCTCCACCAAGGGCCATGACCGCCCCAGCAGTCATCATCAGCACGCCCAGACAAAGCAGCGTGCCATGGTGGACCGACATCTCCAGAGCTTCTGCGTTAAGGTGTTTACTTCTTCCAGCTACAGCTGTACCTTCACCTCAACCACAACCTGTCTGAGGGGAGAGAAACAAAAAGGCTAAGATGCAAGACTACAAAAGAGAAACTACACAGATGCAACATTACAAAATGAAAGCGAATTAAAGAGGAAAAACCGGATTGCGTGCAACATGTAAATGATCTCTCGTGCGTTCTCGTTGTGATAAACATCGATCCCCTCTCTACCTGATAGGAAGTCGCGGTGAGAAGATGTTCAGCTAATGCGTGGACTGAAAGTGTGACCATCACTCTTCTCCTTGCCATCAACTTTAACACGTGTGCCTGTTTCCCGATCTGTGAATAAAATGTGGGGAAAGCAGTCCATCCGGTTCAGTCCGTATATCCTGAGAATCCGCGGCGCCTCTCTCATGATGTGCTCCTCTGCGTCTCTGCTTTATTCCCTCCCGGAAGAAGCATATCCGTTTTTGTTTTTTGGAGGGGAACGATTACGATACCGAAAATCTGTTGGATAGCAGCTGATGTCGCATGCTTGAAGAATACTGTGTGGCTTTCATCTGGCCCCAGCAACAGCAGCAGCAGCAGCAGGGACGTGCGCTGTGAGGAAGTGTGTTTTTTCCCTCCTCACTAGGAAGGGTTTCGGTGACGAGGAATGGAGGGCAGGGCGTCCACTGGGTCTGAACATTGTCACTTAGCCTATGTTTGGTAAAGCTGTTTGCACACAGAGAGAGAGAGAGACAGTTATAGCCCTCTCTTATACACTGGGCGATAAAACTCTGCGTAAAGCAAGATATATAGGGTAGGCTATTAAGCCGAGCTGAAGAAGCGCCTGGTGGGGAGCAGGATGATCACAGCCTACAAATGAAATACAGGCTGATAGTGGAGGAAACGACTGGCTTATTATTAATGATTGATTCGGAAGAAACTGAAAATGCAGCTCCGTGACGCACGACTGCGTTAGTAATCGCTCCATTACTGATCATTATCTTTGATCTAACTTGTTGCCTAAAGCACAAGTCTTAAACAAGGGTGTCAAACATGCAGTCCAGGGGCCAGAAACTACCCGCCCAAGTAGACCAATTTGGCCTACTTGATGCCTGGAAACAGGGGCTTTAATGATATGGGGGGAAAGTAGGTAGGTCAGACTACCCAGGATGATGGCAAGAGGGGACCCTGCAAGCCTGTAATAAAAGTTTGTTTTTATTTTTCTTTCTTCTTCTTTTTTGTATTATTATTTATAAATGATTAGGGTCATAATTAAATTCCCTGAATAAATCAGTTGGGTGACTGAACTTTGATTCCAAACAGATTAAATGGAAGTATCAGTGCGACAGAAACGGTGAGAGCCAAATGATGCAGCACTGTGTGAGTAAAAGTTGCTCTAAGCAATCACTGGTATTGATAGTGGTCTCAGCTGAAAGCTCAGCAACATCAAGCTGCATTAAGATTTATTGAAAGTTGGACCAGTGGCTCTCAGCCAGTATGCTGTGATGTAAACAGGGCATTTTGGGGAAGCCAGTGTGTTTCAGGCTGATAACACTGTTTCCTGATTAAAAGATTAAAAACATTCATTTTGATAGTTTTAGTGAAACCCCATCAGACAACACATCAACATACATTTATATGCTCGTCTGTTTTCTGATCTGTTCTCTATCAAATGTATCAATCACACAAAAAAGTCTGCAAATTGCATTTATAAATGCAGTATTTTGGAAACACGCTTATACTTGCCAAAAAATGCTAAATGCTTTATTTTCAGTTATTACACGGCAGTGTGGCAGTACAGCCTTAAATCCTGTCATCTTTCCTGGTTAATGAGACAATCAAAACATCTGAGACTGTCAGCTTTTTTGTTTTTATTAAACAAAGTTGAAATCACACTCTCACAGAGACTGAAATCAATGCACAGTTCTCTCTTGAGTTGCCTTTTCCAAGCGCATAGCAGATACATGCATATTCAGAGCTAAACAAACAGTTCCAAGCTACACGGTGAGACAACCATGATCCTGTGACTCATGTTAGCTGAAGCCAGCTGTTCCGTTTGAGAGGTGCTCATATGTCACTGTAGTTTATAATATAATAAACTGTGAAGAATAAATGACGAGCAGTCTGATACGCGGCAGATGACCAAGAACAGAAAAAAAATCCAGGGCTTTTTTTTTTTTTAAATTTTACGATAGAATGAAAATGAACTTGGAGAGACAAAAGACACAAACATAATCATGATTAACACCATAGTTTTGTCTAGTTTACTATCTTTGATTGATATGTTCTAAACACAGAAGGGTACTTTTCTGCTTCCCAGTTTGAACTGTTCTGAAAAGTCTTTCTTGCTCAAAGTCTCCTTTCCCTAACTTCCTTGTTTAACTTTTATTCTATTTAAAAAACTAAAAGCATATAAAGGCATTTGGGGTTGATCCATTCCTCAAATCTTTAAAGTTGTAGATTTCAGACAGCACCTGAATGTCACATGCTTAAAGAGAAATATGTTTAAGGCATCTAATAGTTGATTTCCATGTTGCACTGTATTACAACAACAGTAGTCATGTTAAAATGTTTTAAAAATGCGAACGCACAAAGGGATCCTTCTAATGACAGCAACTGTGAGGGCACAATAGGTCATTTTGTAACCCTTGAAACTCATGCAGCATTGCCAGTGAGCTGCAGTGGTCTATCAAGCAGTGGAAAAACTCATATGGTTAGATGAGTCATCGTTCCCCTGCCCTCACCGAGCTGATGAGTACATGTGTGGCACATGAACTGAAGGATTGCTATTCCCAGAGAACATCTGCATTGTTTGAAAGCCACAATCCCCATCCCACAGAGGAGGATTATCCAGTTGTCCAGATCAGTCAAACAGAAATTTAAAGAAATGATGAATACAGCATTCCCAGTACTTTGTAGGTTTTCTTTTTCGTTAAGTCTCCATGGCGCTTAATGTTTCTGGTGTGGGAAAGCTTAGCATAAAGGCTGGAATTTACTGTTTAAACTAACATGTAGCCTCTCATAAAACCATGACTTTTGTGTACATTTTGACTCAACAAAATGCAATATTGGCACTATTGGGTGAACATGTTGAACAGAGGCAGCCACAACCATGGACGACTGTGCAGCTGCAGACTGCACTCATCCAGGAATGGAGAGCAATTCCTCAGCAAAAGATCCAGACATTTAGGTAGTCCAGGCATAGATGGGTGACTGCCTGCATCACATCCACAGGACCTGGCATTGAATTTCTTGTGTATAAATATATCAGTGTTAGTTTAAAAAGCCTTTGTGCTTTATTTTGGTCAAATAAAGATGAATTTGGTATCTTATGCATTTAACCAAGACCAGCACAATGGTGCTGTTATTCAGATTTTACTTTGCAGCAACAAGGTCCTGGTTTTGAATCTAGCTGGTGCCTTTCTGTGTGGAGTGTGCATGTTTTTCATGTGCCTCCCTTTGTGAGTTTTCTCCTGGTACTCCGGTTTCCTCCCACAGTCCAAAGACTATGAAAGCATCTTAGCTTAATGTTTCTTTGTGTTAGCCCCACCTCTTGTCCCAAGACCACTGAAATAAGCTCCAGCCTCCAATGATGGATAGAAATTTAACCAAGTGGCAACACCATGGGTTGAAAAATGAAGCCACATGGAAGTTCCTTTAAAGACTACATAAGGCTGGCTCCAAACCTGAGGGGTTCCCATGTTGAAATGCTTGTTGATGAAATATGAGAACATGAGAGGAAAAAGTAAATGTTTTCATCGTGGTAGAGCAGACGGTTTTGATCTTCATCTCTAAATCTCGCCTTTTATCAACTGTACACGTTAAGGCTTAAAGTTGTAATTATTATTGCAGGTGGGGGTGAGCAGATGGCGCTTTGGTGTTTGGCTTCAGCTCTGATAATTCAAGTCATTCCATTGATCTAAATCTCTCTATGAGGTTTTGTGCCTTTTGGAGCATTTTAAGCAAATTATTTGTGCTCGTTGTGCTAAAGTTGAGGCTTCAAAATGGGACTTTGCAACCAGTGTGTGGCATCCCTTCAGCCCCTTTTATATATACTCTCAATGCATTTAACCTTAGCATCATTGCATAATTTAAATTACAGGAAACTTGCAGAAAGCATGCTAAGACCAAGAAAGACCCATGCTTCAAGTGAGTGAAAAAGTTTGTTACTATGAAAAGAAAACTACAGCATAGTCTGAGCAGGATCCCCAGTCATCACACCTCAAAGCTGATCTCCCTTGACTGTCCAAACAAGGGCTCTGATGCCAGGTGTGTGTCTGAGTATGCACGCCGCAGGTGTGTGGAGCTACATGTTGTCTTGATGGCAACCTCATATGGAGGTGGGGGTCCCAGCCATGGAGGAGGATGAGGAGTTGGACTGAAACCACCAGATTCCATAATCATTGGGGGGTAGTCGAAATCTTCACCTCGAGCAGCATGCCTGTGGCGCTCCATCGTCCTACATTCAGAGAAAGTAAGACATCGTGTGAGATCATTCACATGTAACCATAAACTGATATGTATTACCGAATTCTGAGGTATCAGGGGTTGTAGAGATGATATGCAAGACTGTCTCTAGTGCTGCTTCCTGCCAAACAGAGGCCTAATTGTCACATTGACATGTTTAAAGTGATGAAAAGCTTTTTAGTCACCTCTGTAGCCTTGAGTCTTGCACATGTTTATTTCACTAATCGCCTCTAATCAAACAGCAGCAGCAGGTTGGCTGCCTTTGGATCACTAAGGTCCTTATTCCTGAGCCATACTTGATTAAAGAAATAGCATAACTTTCTAAAATAAAGCAATATTTGAAGCTTTGCACAACACAAGTATTCATACTTGGAGAGAGACATCTAAGATCAGAATATTGTCATTTCTGATGTATAAATGTAAAATTAGACACTTAGTTCATCATAAAGACATAAACGGGGAAACTGTTAGTCTGCAGGTAGCACATTTTGCACACACTTTGCATCAACCAACCCCCTTCAAGACACATTTCTCTGTCAGGTTAATTGTAGATCTTTACTTGATGTAGGATTAAATCTTAATAAACAGACAATTGCCTTGAGTTGCCCAACATCATTAACTGTGACTTCCGTGTTCATTTATCAGAGTGCAAACAAGTACTTATACTAATCAGTCAGTAATTTCCCTCGGGATGAATAAAGTATTCTGATTCTGATTCTGATTCTGATTAAAGCTACTTCCTTTATCCCCTGGTGGATTGAAAAAGCACGTTCTCCATAGGCCCACCTCAGTTCGAACACAGTTTCTCTTGGGATGTTTTGTGGTGTCTGGCACTGGGGTAGTGGATCATTTGCAACCTGATAATTATGGGTTGGGTTTTTAGTGCTTCTTCTGGCCCATCCTTTGGATGCTTAAATGCATCTATATCTGGGAAGTTGGAGACCAATGCAAGCCTTAGGTCTAGGACTAAGGAAACACTGTCCTGCAACAGTGTATCACTGTTGCCAGGTGTGCTTGTTCTGCACCTTTTAGGTGGCTGGAAAATGAGGAAATAACACGCAAATGAATCAGAGGACTCGGGTTTTCCCACCAAAAACACTGCATTGTAAGGAAATTATCTGTGCAATGCATGTCACCCGGCAGTGGTTTTAATGATGTCGCTGATACAACTGGCTGAACAGCTGCGTATGCTAATATGTTGAATAGATGAAGAAGTTAAAGACAGGCAGCAAACCACAACACTCCTATCATAAACTGTACAGACACACTATTCTCAGTGGAAAAACCCATTATATTTATACACAGCCAAGTCATGAGTCAGCATAGCTGTAACCAACATGTATAGTCTTTATAACAGGCAGTAGGGTGTTCTTGTTAAGTCTGTACCTTACACTATAAAGCACCTTGAGGAGAGTGTGTTGTGAAGTGGGGCTATATAAATCTAATAGAATTGAATTGAATTGAATTGAATTGAATTGAATTGAATTGAATTGAATTGAATTGAATTGAATTGAATTGAATTGAATTAATCTCCTGGTTCTAAATGTACCTTTAGCTACAGACACCAGTCTGGAGTCTGAGTCTTCTCATCTAAAGAGCCTGAGAACAAATAGTCTGTTTCTTTTAATTTGTAGTCACTTTATTTAGACCATTTTCTATCATGTCTTTATGGTGTTAAAGTAATCGGGTATTTTGCAAGGTTGTTCACAGTCATCAGTGTGAAAGATGTCATTTCTTTCTCTTTAGATTTATTCGACCTTGTTTGTGCTTTTTGGCTAAAATTAAATTAAAAAACAGTACAAAAAGGGTGTGTCTAGAATAGACGACAATGTACTGTCATTGTATTTAAGCCTCTTTGACATTTAATTGTATAGAAGGATGCCTCTGTCCAAAAAGGACATGGATGACTGGGAAGTGGACAACAAGACAAAGCAGACATTAGCCGTGTAGATAACTGTCTCACGATAAGATCTACTCTTTGGATTAAATAAATGTCTTTTTTCATTTCTTTGTTTGTTTAGAAAACCTGCTATGAATAGTTGGACTCATAATTTCTAGTTTATGGTAACAAGATCAACAAAAGCAGATCTAATAATACGAACTGAGCTTATTTTTCTTTCACCCACCTGGGCAGAAACACTGACTGGGACTCTGGGAACCGATTCCCTGGGGAAGTGAAGTAGGCTTGGCCGGGGTAGTTGGTGTATTCGTACGAATAATGCGGGCACTCTTGGTCGTACTCGCTGTGGTTGTAATTAGCAGCACTTTTGCTGTTCATAGCCCAAAATAACCCAAGGATGAGCATGACCACCCCCAGCACCACACAGCAGAGGGAGAAAGCCTGCAGGCGACTCTGGGATGAAGTCAGGAAGGCTGTGGACCCCCCAGTCACAATGAGGAAGGCTCCGGTGAAGATTGCTCCATGATGCAGGGAAGGCATCCTTCTCCAGGACTGTTAACGGTTTCAGAGGTTACTGTGTGGCTGTGACCGGCTGGTTAGTGTCACTCACACATAAACAGACTCACAAAGTGTGTTCCCCATGCGCTCTGACGCTGACCAGGCATCCAAAAAATTTACTCCACAGTTCCAGAAATCCTGTGACATGGAATTCCTCCTAATTTTTACTCTTTTGATCCCGTCATTTCCATCTCCATTACTGATAAAATACTCCTGATCATTCACCATGTGTGTTGGTTCTTGCTTTGTTGGTCTCCAGCAGCGGAAAAGTCCTAAAAGTGACAGTTTGTTGAAAAATAAAGAGAAATAAAATGTCGACTGCTTTGAGGCGCATCAGGCTAATGTTGAGTAGCTGTGTGTTTATCATCAAGGCAGATGGACGAGAGAGCGGCCGAGCCCATTAAGAAATCTTTACTGGCGCCCCACCCTCCCTCTGTCTAATGTGTCTGAAGGGTACCACTTTAGCCCTGTGTGTGTGTGTGTGTGTGTGTGTGTGTGTGTGTGTGTGTGTGTGTGTGTGTGTGTGTGTGTGTGTTTCAGAGAGAAAGAGAGTAAGAGGGAGAGAGAGACAGTGCCAAAACCACTTCTCTAAACATAAATGGACATACTGGATGTAAAATAGACACAAGTTCAGTCCTATATCCTGTAACAATAATATGTTTTCCACATTATGAAACAATCCACATCACAGCAGCAGATCCTGAACAAGTTAGAGTGACATATAAAGGATGCTTCCTTTTAAAAAGATTACTTGGAAGAGGATTTTCCATTTTTGCTTACCACACAGTTTGATGAAAAACACCTACTGAATTTGTTACAGGGTTAATTACTAACCAATGTAAACTTAATAATGGACACATTATTAAGTACACCTTGCTGGCACCATGTTTGACCCCCTTTTGCTTTAAGAGTAAATTTAGTTCTTTATGGAAAAGGTGCTGGAAACATTCCAGAGATTTTAACCGATGTTGACATGACAGCATCGCACAGCTGCTCCAGATTTGTTGGCTGCACATCCATGATGGGAATCTCCTGTTCCACCACATCCCAAAAGTGCTCTATTGGATTGAGATCTGGTGACAGTGGAGGCCACTTGACGAGACTGAACTTATTGTTGTGTTCCAGAAATCATTTTGAAATGACTTGGGATTTGTTACATGATATGTTATCCTGCTGGAAGTAGCCATCAGAGGATGGGGACACTGTGGCCATTAAAGGATGGCAACAATACTTAGACAGGCTGTGGTGTACAGATGATGCTCAGTTTATACTAAGGGGCTCAAGATAATGCCCTAATCATTAAACCATTACCTCCAGCCCAAAACAATGATACAATGCTGCATGGATTCATGCTTTTATGTCATTTATGCCAAATTCTCACCATACCATCTGAATGAAAGCAGCAGAAATCAAGACTCATTAGAGCAGGCAGCATCTTTCTAAACTTATGTAATGCAGTTTTGGCGTACCTGAATTGCAGCCTCAATTTACCATTCTTAGCTGACAGGAGTGGCACCTGGTGTGGTCTTATACTGCAGTCCATCTGCTTTAAGGTTCGATGTGGATGTAAAGTGCATTCAGAGATGCTCTGCTGCATATCATTGTTGGAACGAGTGGTAATTTGAGTTATTGTTGCCTGACTATCAACTTGAAGCAGTCTGGCCATAGTCCTTTGACGTCTGATATAAACAAGCCATTTTCACCTGGACCTTTAGATTGTTGTTATGGACTGAGACCTGTCAATCTGGTATTATATTGTAGGAGGTATTTGTCAGGAGCAGATGAGGTTCAGATGAGGTTAGGGTACTCAGATCAGAAATGACAATACAAGCTACTTGATTTGCCTTTATGAAGACATCCCAGTCATTTGCACCAATGCATCCTAAAACTTAACGTGATGATAGATTTAGCCATAGTCTGTCTAAAAGTTGGCTGTTAAGCTCCTTCCCCTTCTTCTTTTCTCTGCTCCTTTTAAATCCCCACTGCAGATCATCTGCCTCCATCTAACCCTATCCCTCACATCCTCTTATGTCACACAATCTTGTGCATTGTCCTCCTTCACTACATTTTCTCTGTGGTCTTCCTCGTCTCTTCATGGCTGGTAGCTCCATCTTTTACATCCTTTGTCGAGTCTATCTGTCCTCTGCACATGTCCAAACCATCTCAGCATTTCTTCTCTAACTTTGTCTCCAAACCGCTGGAACCTGAGCTGGCTCGATGACATTTCTAATCTGTCCATCTTGACCACTGTAGAAAAAAGCCTTAACATCTGCAAGTCTGCCATATCAAGTCCACCACCTATCTTTTTGCCCCTCAGAGACAGAAAGTTCGAACAGCAAGTGTGTGGGGCTTGTGAGCTCACAGACACTTGCTGTATGGCTGAGAGGACCAAAAAAAGGGATGTCCAATCTAAATGCCAAAAATAATCTGAAACTGAGTGTCTACTTTCATTTGGCTTCAATTTTTATTTTAAACTCCAAAATAAAATTTAAAAAAATGAATTAAAAAAAGACCACACTGTGAACCTTGGTGGCCTCATAGCTGGCTAAGCGCATGCTTGTGAAAATGTATTCAGATATAGGTCAGCTTTTATTTTAAAAGGTGTAATTGTTACAATTTTAGCTTTTTAATTTTGCTATTAGTAGTAAACACAAACTCCAGACATTTAACCTAATGATGCCAATACTGTGGAAAGGTAGGCTGCTTTGATTCGACCAGAAAGGATCATTAATGTCTCTCCTTTCAACAGCTAATCTGCACCAAAGGGGGTAGGCGCACTTAGGTTTATTACTATCCACTGACTTACATGCGCACACTATAAATGAACATGTATCAAATGGACCAGTTACTTTATAAAAGATGGGGAAAACAATGCATGTAACTGACCTACAGCCATGGACATATTGGGAGTGCATTCATGCACTGATTATGACAAAGCCTGCTTCTGCAAGAAACTACAGAAGTTAATTTAAACTTAAAGTGTCCGCATTAAACTACAGGGTCCAACCTGTGATACTGTGTAAATACAGTGTTGTAACACAGTCTTGAGGACAGGGTGCATGGTGTGACAGCCTGCGTGCTCCGTGATTGGGTAAACAACAAAAAGGCTACTTTTCTGGCATTCCCTTCAGTCACTTAGTGGACCAGTTAACTTAAAGCTTACATGACAGGTTCCGCCCCTTTGGTATTATCGCCCAATCAATGTTAAGCAGGGGAGGGGCTTGCCTACCACCTAGCCGTGCTCACCTATCCCAGCGAAGGGGTGATCAGAAATCGAGTTTTGAGGGTTGGGATAATCAATACAGAGTTCACCAAAGCGCTACTTCCCCAGCTGAGAAGTGAAGCGGATATCTTTAGTTTGGAAAGAGAGGAGAGTGAGTGCCGATCTGCCCGGACACGATGGTTCCACTGTTGTATTTAGGAGGTTTGGTGGTTTCGTTCCTGCTGTGGATCAAAGTCAAAGGTCTAGATTACGCGATAGTTCACCAGAGGTGGATATTTGTGTGCTTGTTCCTGCTGCCGCTCTCCGTTATATTTGATGCGTATTACTATGCGAGAGCGTGGCTCATTTTCAAGATGTGTTCCGCGCCCAAACTGCACGACCAGCGCGTGCGAGACATCCAGAGACAGGTGAGCGTGTCCGCGTGAACAGGTGTCAGAGCTGCACTGTCCTTTTCAGTCATTACTATATAAATGCAATCCATCATTACTAAACTAATAAGGCACGCAGCTTCATTTCTATTACATCTCAATGTTTCATTCATGTTGCAGAGTCGTCCCTTTCAATTTGGGCCACCATGATATTTAATGATCAATAACAATTACAGTCAAATAGTTATTGATCATAAAGTTTCATGTGTTGTTTGCAGTGAGTCATGCTTGTGAAAACTTTTAACAGGCTGCTTTTGATTCAGATGGGATAACATGTACTGTGTGTGTATATTCTGTGGATTACAAGCAGCTTTGTAAAGTTAAACAGTGGTGTGGCTTCACCTCAACTAATTAGACTCATTTAAAGGGAATCAGTTATTCAGTAACTTAAACTTATTAACTGATCACTCAACAGCTGTATCACTAAAAGGATTTTGCTTATCCCCATGTCATGCAGGCTTTCATATACAGGAAAACTATCTTAGGAAAAATATACATTGTCACCTAATGGATACCAACCATGACATCTCCATATGTGACATTTCAGGTGCGCGACTGGAGAAAGGAGGGCACTAAGACCTACATGTGTACAGGTCGCCCCGGCTGGCTCACCGTGTCTCTCAGAGTGGGCAAGTACAAGAAAACCCACAAGAACATTATGATCAACATGATGGACATTCTAGAGGTGGACACAAAGAGGCAGGTATGAGGGGGCAACAAACTCAACTCCAAGTGTTTCGTATCTGTGAACTCAACCAGAAATATTTGTAACTGATGAAACAGCATCAACCTGGGCTCAGTTCTGTCAAGTTCCCCAGTTAGTAAGTCAGATAGTAATGAAAATACAATAGAGGTATTATTTTAAAAAATTGCACTTTGACATCTATCATTAAAACATATTACCGCAATAATAAAAACTTTCTATCTGTAGGGAAAAGAATGGCTATGTTAATTTACCACATCTTGTTTATGATGTGAATGGCAGCTATTTGATTGATTTTGTCTGTTTATTTATAAAACTCAGCAACAATGAGCCAATCAGATAAAAGTTGGGTGAATTATTGCAATATCTTAACCAGACATTAATGTTAAGTGTTAAAACTTTGAGAGAAATTGAAGACCTAATTAAAAGTGGAAAACTATTCTCGACCAGCAACTGAAAATTATTGATCGTCCTTAACCCTTAGTCTTTAAGGTAGACTGAGCAGTTTATAAATGTCCATGCAGTCCAAATAGTCCAGACAGTGTTAGAATCAAACAGTTTGTACATGGATGGATAGACTGAGGCCATTTTTTACATTCACAGAAAGTGTTTATTTCTGCAAGGCAGATTGTCTAATTATTTGGCTCAATACTTTCATGCAGGCACGAGTTCCGCGTAAATTGTGAGGATCTATCTTTTGAGACAAAGATAGAGAGGCAACATGATTTGGACATGTGTTTGAGGAGGGATAGTGTTGAATATAGAGTTGGCAGGTGGAAGCAAAAGAGGAAGCTGTAGTGAAGAAGGACATGCAGAGGGGTTGGTGTGACAAAGGAGGGTGAGATGGAAGCAGGAGAACCTGCTGGTGGATTGTTACTTAAAAATATATTTGTTTTTTAGGTGGTTAGAGTTGAACCGCTGGCAAACATGGGTCAAGTCACCGCTCTCCTCAATTCCATCGGCTGGACATTGCCAGTGCTGCCAGAGCTGGATGACCTCACTGTGGGTACGTTGTGCTTTATTTTCATTGGAATCATGGATCGGCACCTTCTGTGGTTTCTGCAAATAGAGAGATGTACCGATGATGTCGACACCGATTTCACTGATGTAAATCCTGCATTTCCTCTGTCAGTCACTGCATCCTGTTTAGAGCCTCAACGACTTTTCTAATCGCGTTAGAGGACTGATGTTGTAGCTCAAAAGACGAAACTGGGAGGAAATGGCTGCAGTGTTGGAAGCACCCCTGGATTGGGTTTCATAATGGATTTCCTGATGTTATAAACAACGCATCAACAGTCTAATGTTTTCCAATCAGGCCGCAGTACATTCATTTATCCTCATGTCCACACACGCGCGCACACTCACAGCAGGCAGATGTTCCTGTCTGCTCATGTGTCCGCCTGGTGTTGTACTCACCCGGGTAGAAATTGAATTAGTAAAGGACGTTTATGATTCTCTGTCCTCTCTCAGGTGGGCTAGTGATGGGTACCGGCATAGAGTCGTCATCCCATATTTATGGGCTGTTTCAGCACATCTGTGTTGCCTATGAACTGGTTCTAGCTGATGGCAGTTTAGTACGCTGCACAGAGGTGAGTATTGATTTTGTGTTAAATATATAGATGATATATGTCTGAGTCCAGGAGCTTGTATTCTAAAGAGAGTTTTGTGGGTTAGTATGCCATCCTTGCACTCATGCCTTACTAAATTATCTCTGCTTTTTGAGATAACAAAATTATGATTTCAATTACGCTGTCTCTGCTTTTATATTTGAAGAAATATCCATAGGCAGTGAAATCAGCTTTGCTCAGATGGAGTATCTGGTGTTCACTATATTAGCATGGTTTTAATTCATGGTAGAAGGTTCATTAGCAAGAAAGCACTAAAATTCCACCATGAAAAATAACTATGGAAACTTTTACCCTCAGTTTCAGTGGATAGAAACATTTCTCCTTCTTAGCTCACCTGGTCAAAGGACCAGTGGGCTAATCTGTTTCTGCACAGTTCACAAATCGGTACTCCTCCTCAAGTTTTGATCAGATTTTAGTGAAACTTGTGCACACTGATCACCTAATGCAAGGGTGGGCTATTAATTTTCCTAATAGGCCACATGAGAAACTACGACTGTTTCTTCCATTCTCTTCCACGTATCCTTAGCAGGGTTGCATAGGAGGGTGCTGGAGCCTATCCCAGCTTAAGCTGAACTCAGTTCTGCTAAATAATAACTTCATCTCTTTATAAGTTTGATGGTTTTGCCCTCCGCAACAAGCCTAGTTTTTCATGTGGCCACTTGGGAAAATTAATTGCCCACCCCTGATGAGTCTTCATCCCAATTGTGCTTAAGATCAGTGTCACATTGGTCATTTTACAGGCAGTTTTATATTTTTCATAACAATCGCTAGTAGTCCTAGATTTTAGCTAAAGGAAATATATTTGTCCTGGATATGATTGTGAGCTTCAATGACTTCACAATAGATTTGTATTCTCATTAGTTTGTGTAATACAGCCAACCAGTAACAACACAAACTATAGTTTTCTTTCTGTACTTCATACATTTCAGTAACCTCTGAATTGGGGTGAGCTACTATGTCACTGATGTTATGATTATCATTTTTGTCTCTGTTTAGTCTATTCTAGTTAATATTATCTATTTTAAGTCCTTCTGTTTACCAGAAATGGGCAAGGATTGAGTAAAAATTCCTGCGTAATTCCCTCTAACGCTCTCGAGCTAAAAATAGGCTATTTATCAGACGTTGTTCTATAATGTAAAATCAAAAGATGACAACTGTTTGCTGGTAAAATAAAATAACTAAACACAGTAATGTGGTTCATCAAAGACAAATACACTGTCTTCCAAGCACCGTTTCTGGTTTGTCACACTTGCATGTTATGATTTTTCACCCCAAAAGCAGACAGCGTGATCTTTGTGAGAAGATAAACTGGTCGCTACTGTGAAGTATGTGAGAAAAACTGAGACAAATAGCCTAATCTCAGAAAGCCTGGCTCTTCACAGTCATATTCAGAAGAGGGCCACACACTTTTGAAATTTTTTTTCTTCTTCATAAAGGAAGAGAACACGGATCTATTCCACGCCATCCCGTGGTCCTGTGGCACTCTGGGCTTCTTGGTTGCCGCTGAGATTAAAATAGTCCCAGCTAAGCCTTGGGTGAAGCTGCACTATGAGCCAGTCAGAGGGCTTGAGAACATCTGTAAACGCTTCACCGAAGCTTCTGCGAACAAGCAGAACACATTTGTTGAGGGACTCCAGTATAGTCTGGATAGTGCTGTTATCATGACAGGAACCATGACTGACCACGCAGAGCCTGACAAGGTAAGGCATCTTTGACTGTGCTTGCGATTTGTTTTCATTTGTTTTATCATATTAACCTTCCCGTTTCCTCTTCAACATCAGATTAACAGAATCGGCCTGCACTTTAAACCCTGGTTCTTTAAACACGTGGAGGGCTACCTGAAGAAAGACTGCGCTGGAGTTGAGTACATCCCTCTGAGACACTACTATCACAGACACACACGCAGTATCTTCTGGGAGCTTCAGGTACTCACACACAACAGATTTTATCTGCTTTAGGATTATATTGAGGGGGTGCATAAATCTGTCACATTTTAGCTTGTCATCATCTTACCAATTTGCTGTCTTACTTCTCTTTAGTAGGCTCTAATGCATGCTCTTTGTCTCTTTCTGTCTCTCTATCCCTATCCCTCACCCTCACACACCATTAGCCATTAGTGAGGAGGGCTTGGCATCCTTTGTTTCTGTAACAGTAAATGGTGTGATGAATTATGCATTGTATTGGTTTGACAGATTTAGTTGAGTCACCTCTGGGCTTTTGGATGCTCTGTTTTCCAAAGGATTTTGTGTTTGTTGACAGTGCAGGGAAAAGCAGGCAGAAACAGGGCTTAATGATGACATTAAATCGCTAACTGACAATTTGTGATAGGAATCGTTTTTGTTGTTGGACATGGTGGCGTCAGACCGTGATTGGTAGGTTAACACTGCCCTCCGGTGGAAAGTAAGAAGACTAAAGCCAATACTGATGCTACTTGACACACTGATCAGGCACAACATTATAACCACCTGCCTAATATTTGGTCGCCCAGTCGAGACATGGACTCCTCTAGACCCCTAATGTGTTAGGGGTCTAGAGCGATTTACACATCCAGTCATCCACCCATTCAGACACTGGTGATGGCAAGCTACATTGTAGCCACAGCCACCCTGGGGCGCACGGACAGAGGCGAGGCTGCCGGACACTGGCGCCACCGGGCCCTCTGACCACCACCAGTAGGCAACGGGTGAAGTGTCTTGCCCAACGACACAACGACCGAGACTGTCCAAGCCGGGGCTCGAACCGGCAACCTTCCGATTACAAGGCGAACTTCCAACTCTTGAGCCACGATCGCCCCAATGTACTGTGGCACCAAGATGTTAGCAACAGATCCTTAATCCTGAAAGTTGTGAGGTGGGGCCTCCATGGATTGCATTTAATTGTCCAGGATTTGCTTGTCCCACGGATGCTTGATTGGATCTGGGAAATCTGGGGGCCAAACCATTCCTAAACCATTTTTGTTTTATGGCAGGACGCATTATTCTGCTGAAAGATATCACAGCCAGCAGGGAATACTGTTTCTATGAAAGGCTGTAAATGGTCTGCAACATTGCTTAGGTAGGTTGGTACCTGTCAAAGTAACATCCGCATGGATGGCAGGATCCAGGGTTTCCCAGGAGAACAATGCCCACAGCCTCTGCCGGCTTCCCTTTTCCCTATACCACATTCTGCTGCCAGGTATTCATCAGATAAGAGATGCACACACATCTGGCCATCCATCAGAACCACCATTAAATTTTGACAGTGATTCTTGGCGGCCCATGACCCTGTCGCTTCCTTGGAGCACTTCTGATAGATACACAGATTTGGAGATGCTCTGACTCAGTTGTCTAGCCATCACAAACAGTGGTCATAATGTTATGCTTGATCAGTATATGTCAGAATCAATAATATGTCAAATGTAGGGTCAACAGTTATCACAATATCCTAGTACATCTGGTCACAGCTTGCTATTCTAACCCTGGTCTGTGATTATGAATCAGTTCTCTGTGCAGCTTACAGTTTCAAAGCAATTACTTTTTACTTCTAATTTTGGGCTACAGACTGTGATTAATAAGAAGAATCCTAAAATCCTGTGTTTTTATATATTGTAACTTATTTTGATAGCAGAGTCGTGGTATACTGTATTTTCAGGACTGTCATTTTTAATTAAAATTCTCACTGTGATAGAAATAAAACTTTCAAGAAAGAAGAGTTTTTTAAAACCTGATTTTCTTTTATTATTTTCTTTTATTTTTACGTATGTTTGTGTGTCTACATGTTCTGTTTCTTTTGAATTTTAAATTTTAAAAATATATAAACAGAAAAAGAAAAGGATGTGATCTGTGATTTTAAAATCAGACATTGAATCATGAAAATCAAGTACAGGGAATTCTCCACTTTAAAAAAAAAAGAAAAAAAAAAAGAGTCAGCACTCTATTACAGAGGGACATTTTAGTATCTCTGCGTACATTTGTGCCTTTTCTGCAGGATATTATTCCGTTTGGCAACAACCCCGTGTTCCGCTGGCTTTTCGGCTGGATGGTGCCTCCCAAGATCTCGCTGCTGAAGCTCACCCAGGGAGAAACCATCAGACGTCTCTATGAGCAGCACCACGTGGTCCAGGACATGCTGGTACCCATGAAACATCTGCAGGATGCCATCACACGCTTCCACAAGGACATTGAAGTAAGAGTCAAATATGGATCAGTGTGCCGGGCACTTAGTTTATGTATGAGGTACTTGTGCTTTAATATTGAAACGGTTTGTGTTGTTTTAGGTGTACCCACTGTGGCTGTGTCCATTCCTGCTGCCACCAGGCAGAGGGATGGTTCACCCTAAAGGTCAAGAGGAGGAGCTGTATGTAGATATCGGGGCTTATGGGGAACCTAAAGTCAAACATTTTGAAGCTAAATCGTCAACAAGCCAGCTGGAGAAGTTTGTCAGAGATGTTCATGGGTGAGTCTCAAATTAAGCAAACAAACTGAAGCATCTGAAACAAAAGTGATATGAAATATTTTGCTTTAATTCACACTGCTTTTGCTGTTTCGTTGGCATGTAGATTCCAGATGTTGTATGCAGATGTCTACATGGAACGAGAGGAGTTCTGGGAGATGTTTGATGGACAGTTGTACCACAAATTGAGAGATGAATTAGGTTGTAAAGAAGCCTTTCCAGAAGTCTATGACAAAATCTGTAAATCTGCCCGACATTGACCCCTATCTCCCATCACCTGGTGCCTGAATTCAGCCCCGTGTCGCAGATACACGAAGCTTCTGTCGGCAGCTCACGCTTTCGTGAAAGCTGCTACATTTTGAATGTTTCTAGGAAAAAAAAGAGAGCTCAAAATTTTCTAAAGTGGGACTAATCACACTGAAATACTTATTTTGGAAACCAGCCTGTGGGGACATTTTTATCAGTGTGACAAAGAAGCAGAAGCATTTTATTATGAAGGGTTTTTTGTGACTTTTTTGCCTTCATATGAAAATGCAATGCTTAGTTCATCTTCAAACTGTTTAATACTGCACATATTATGCAACTTCTCCCTGTTTGGCAATTTTGTCTTATTGTTCCCCTAAGTGCCATACACTTTGAAGACATGTATAATACATGGTTCCTGTTTTTCAGTTTTAAAAAGTATATATTGTAACTTATTTTGATATCAGTGTATGGTTCTACTATATTTCCAGGTGTGTATAACATGTAATTATAACTTTTCCTACAATAAAGCTCATTGCCATGCCTTTTTCCCATCAGTTATTTCACATTATTTAAAATGTCAGATAAATTATAGCCACCCATTTTATAACTAGTTTTTAACAAGGTTATCATAATCAACTGAAACTATACTAGGAATTAAATCTACGTGTGAAAAAATACTATCTGAAATAAATAATACATTAAATAAAAATACAACAGAAACATATTTAGTTTTGTCATTCTGGTAAAAGTCTGTACAGTGAGTATGAGGAGGCATTGTTGTTTTTATTTAACATTGAGGCTGGAATGTTTACTTTAATGAGTGTCCAAAATACGTCCCGTTCCTCTCCTTGAGGAAAAGACTCAAAAGAACAGGTGTGGTTGTGAACTGATCGTGGCTCAAGAGTTGGAAGTTCGCCTTGTAATCGGAAGGTTGCCGGTTTGAGCCCCGGCTTGGACAGTCTCGGTCGTTGTGTCCTTGGGCAAGAAACTTCACCCGCTGCCTACTGGTGGTGGTCAGAGGGCCCGGTGGCGCTAGTGTCCGGCAGCCTCGCCTCTGTCAGTGCTCCCCAGGGTGGCTGTGGCTACAATGTAGCTTGCCATCACCAGTGTCTGAATGGGTGGATGACTGGATGTGTAAATCGCTTTGGGGTCCTTAGGGACTAGTAAAGCGCTATACAAATACAGGCCATTTACCCAAACCTATGCTTTACAGACTACCATCTACATGCTGTAGCTGCTTACTGTCACCAGAGGGCAGAGCATGTAAAGCTGATAATCGAAACAGAGATTATACTGAAATGCAAAGTAAGACCTGATTACATTAAAGATTATACTGCAAGAGGCATCCCAATACAATTACAGGCTACACAAGATAAACAAGACACTTTAAGCCACATCATAGATAAACGTAGCCGCAGTAAAATATCTGCCTTCAACTGCAAAGTATACAAAAGAAGACATGCAGAGGTAGATTAATGAACTCACCACAGACTTAGACAGTTGGGGGTCACCGACTGTGTCTGCAGAATATCCAATCCTACATTCCCATGTGGTCTGTAAATTTGTGGTTTGCTAATTTTGAAGATCATGCTTTAAAACTAGTGTCATGAGCTATTAAATTACATCGTTTTACTTCTAGAGGGACACGAGGAGTGGGCTACTTTCTAAAGTCATCCTAATTACCACAATTTATTTTTCAATTTATTTTTTTCTTACTGCAGAGTGTATGGAAACTTTTACCTGTTGAGGGGGGAACGAGTATCTGCTGTTAAGACTACACGGGAAGTTTTTCCAGGGGACATCTTCGCGGGTCCGCCCTTTCTACAGACAGCGATAGTAGCTGCCAGCCGGTTTGGTAAGTTTACTATAAAGTCAACTGCAGCAAGGCGCCCGCAGTCTTTTGCCAGCACAGGTAGGTTCTTCACATTGTTTATAGCATTAAGTCTTCTTTCTTTTATCATTATAAAGCTCCCAGTTAGCTATTCAGTAAACGTTTTATAAAGCGAGTCACACAGTTAACCTTAGCTACCTGTTAGCTGTCAGTCAGTGTAGTTTTGTTACTACAGCTACCCAGCAATTTTCGTTAGCCGTGACTTATTATTGTAAAGGTGACTTTGACAATTTGTAGAAGCCACACGACTCGTTAAAACTTAAAGCTATCGAACCACCTTCGAGTGAAAAATTATCACAGCACTTCTGAGTTGTAGCTGAAGTTCCGTGTGTAGTTTTATGTGCAACAGAGGTGTTCCAGATTAACTGAATATTTTCATGCCCAGCACATTAGACACCGCCTCTGCAGCTCCTTAAAATAAACTATGTATTAAATAAGATGTATCTGTTGTCGGTTTACTGTATTTAGTACGATTTTCGTAATTTTATTAATTTTGAAACTATATTAGTTTCCGCAACCTAACAGTAAAGTTTCTAAAATCGTTTAAGGTGCTCTGATTTCATCAGTGACGGAAGTAAAAGCCTACTTTATTGCATGTATTGTTATTTGGAAAGATCGATAAGCTTTGTTTGTAAAGCTGTGTCAAAAGTTTATTGCTACTGTGGAAGATTTGCCACAGTAGCAAATAATTTGCTGATAATTCGGCATTTAAAGCCAAAATTTGTAGCTAATGGCACTTTGATTTTGCATGTTTGCAGCTGAGTACTCCTGCTAGTCCTCCATTCAGGGGGAAAAAAAGAGGAAAACCCCAGGTGGTGGGAGAAAAGGCATTACCTGTTTTGCACACTTGATCCTAGAGGAGAGGGAGGCCGTGGAGAAAGCATGCCCACTGACCAAGAGCCCACCTTCACTGTGAAGCTACTGCAGCTGATTCTGATCTCCACTTATTGGGGGATGCAGATTTGGGTCACGTTCGTTTCAGGTGGGTATAAACATGCACACAAATACAGGATAAGAGAATGATAGGAAGTACAAGTGGTCAATAAAGAGATACCTGTTTAGTTTATAATCATTACTGAAGCACAGTTTTTTTTTCTAGTGAAAACTGGAGAAAAAACCCTGGTATCAGTGTAGTCTCAGCCATCCTGAATGGCTGAGACTACTCAGTATGTCCGGGGGCAGGGGGGGTTGTAACAGTTCTGCAAAACCCCAATTTATGTCATACTTTGGTTTTTAGGTTTTGGTTCTTACAGGCCCATCACTTGGCCATGACTAAAAGAAATTAGTGCCACTATTCTGACATATTTGAATTTCACTTGGTAACTTTACAGTCTCTAAACATGATTGCTTTCACCAGATTACTCATTAACACCACCACATGCATATCATGGGACAGAAAGATGAGGACAAAACGATACCGTGGATGTTTGTGACACACTTTTAGTTTCAGAATCATCAAGCATACAATGCTTTTAAAGTGCAATACATTGGTTGCACCTGGCTTTTTGTAGCTTGCAAAGTTTACACACATTGAATTTGTTATCATAAGGTGTGTACATTCCTTGCTTATGGAGGAATGCCCTTCACAAACTTGTGACCTGACCTTCCTGTTAGCTTTAACGCTGCAGTATGTTTCTTTTCTTTAGTATAACTGTGGTCATATTATGTCAGTGCCACTAAAAACTCTTCATGTAAATGTATTCCTGTATCTATATTATATAATTATAATTTTGAGATGAAACTTGATTTCAGACTTTGTTGTTACTGCTGTGAGATAATAAAAAACTTTTTTTTTTCTTTAAATAAAATAGTATTGATTTTGCCTGTGGAGTTAATGTCCTCGATTCTGCTCAGGTTTTGTGATGAACAACCACCTGAACAGACACACGTACGGCTTTATTCAGAGTCGTCTGGTCCCGTTCTATCTCCACCTCGGTTCAGCCTGTGCTTTCTTTAACCTCACTATCTATGCTGTGTATCACCCAAGTGACATGTTGGATGACAGAGAAGCCTTTCAGGTATGTTTTGTTTTATCATATCATTACATTGCATGACACTCATTTTGAAACATTTCCTAAATCTTTTTCTCTGCTTTTGCCACCAGATCTTCATCTTCTTTGTGTCCGTGACGGTTTCGGCCGTCAATGCTCAGTGGTTTGGCCAAATGACATCAGAGATTATGGCTGACATGCATCTTATTGAGCAGGCATGCGGACTGGGTCAGGATATCGGGCTGTCATCCAACCGTGAAGCTTACGCTAAACTATGTGAGACGGATGTCAAATACAGACACCTCAGCAGCCGCCTTTGGCTCTACAGACTGCTGTCCTCTCTGTGCAACCTCTGCTGCATTGGCTGTAACTTCTACAGCCTATGTTACATGGCCGAGAACCTTGTTGCACTATAAAGCTGACACATCAGGAATGTTGGAACCTTTAAATCAGTCCCTTACAAATCGACAAACACTTCATTTTTTAATTGAACCTATAACTTATATATTTAATTCATATTGTCTTCCTCTGTAAAGTGTGCAATGAAATGTCAGGTAAGCCTAGTTGCCCCTCCTAGCGCCTTTGGGAGTAATGAAAGGACACTGCCTTGTTTCTCTCATAAGGCTTGTGGAGAGGTGAGTCAGTGAGTGCAGTGTGGAATGCCTCAACTTTCACCTAGTTTCAGTTCACGGTGTCGGCTGCCTGGAGATTTCCTTTCACTACAACAGTTGCCTTAATAGTAACATTGAGCCAGTGGATTTTTTTAAGCTTTATTGTAGCAATACAGAAGAGGCCACATCAGAAAACAACCCAATCCACTTGATATTTTTATAAGTATGCAACAAAAGGGCCCCTTTAGTTAGGGAAACTGCTCCAATTCTGCTCACTCCCTCTCTTTCTGGTTGGGTGGAGTTTTTATCCCATATTCAGGGTAGTGTCACAGGTTTGTTTAGCTTCCCTTTCATTGCTTTAAGATTGTGTGGGTGTGCGTGTGTGCTTCATGCTTCAGAGTGCAAGGTTGTACTATCTTTAGTTCTCCTAGCTCCTGTTGAGATGAAAAAGAACACTTTTACTGTGGTATGCATTCGGCGCTGCTTTTAGCTGTGCTGTGCATTAGTTAAACTGTAAACAGCTCGTTTGTATTTATTGAGGCGAGGGAGGAAGACTATTCTGCCGTACAGCAGGTCAGTCTAGTTGTGAGAGTCGTCTAACAGGTAGACCCTTGATCTCCTGCTGAGATAATTGTTCTGTTGATCAGTGGTGACAAATGGCATTAAATAACTATTTTTGTTTAACAGCTTTGATGGTTGTAGTGATCTGCTGTCTAGTGATGCATTGATCCAGAAAATAGTGTGGGGACATGTTTTTTTGATGTGGTTGAAAGTATTGAAATTTGCTGAGTTGATGTGGGTCTACTTAGGCTAAATGTCTGTAATAGTAATAATAATAGTGCCCCCAGAATGTCACAATGAAACTGAAAGACGTACATTAATACATGTGCAGTAACGTTTCCATTACCTCTTGAATTTCCCTTGGCCGATAAACATCCTACAAGGTGTTGCATCCTACATTACTTGATATCATGTGTTCAGTGTGAAAGGCACTGGTACTGGCACTTACCACAGGTGATGCTGGTTGAGCAGACACTCATTTGACCCCTTTTCTTCTATCCGATATGGCAGGAGACTTGCTAGTACACACGGCACACACTACTATGGTTCTAGTACATCTAGACTTGTAGCTCAGGCAGGTCTGTATTAATTTGCCAGCAAGGGTTCTGCCTACTTGTGGTTATAATCAGCAGCTCTAACACTTTACATAATTATTACATCATAATACATTCAGACTTTCTCTTTGGATCAAATGGGGAAGTGATGCATAGCATCGAGCATAAGAACACCCATTGTGACCTTCTGGGAGCCCCGTAAGCAAATGTCTGAAGACCTGAATGAATCTCTGCATTTGATGTTTTCACTTAATATCCAAGCATGGCCTCTGTACAAATTTGAACCTTGCATTTTGTCTAAAAGGAGAATATTATTTTGTATATAATGGTGAAGATTTAAAGTATTGTTTGGCCTGTATCTTGAATTCCTTGTGCTTTATTTTATAAGACCTCCGTTTGTTGTACATTAGGGTGTTTATGCACTCTTTATGGGGAAAATTATGTAGGCTTGAAGTGAAATCAAATTATATTTAAGTTGTGTTTTTCCACTACAGTTTTATCAGGCTGTTTTAGTCATAGTTTGAATATCTCTGAAGTCTTTGTTTCACACTCTGAACACTGAGGATCTGTGCTCATTTCTTTTAAGCTGTGTCTTTGCACATTGAAATGTTAAATCCCTTCCTGCCAGTGACGGTCGCTCCTTTTTGTACCTGCCTGGTTGAAATGCATCAATGTGTTTCATCTTTCTTCTGTTTGTAGCACATGTCTATGTAAAACTGCCGTTAACACCAGCACTTCCATAATTGAGAATTTACAGCATAGTGTGGATGTTAAAACTGCTGTTTTGTTCAGACTGGACTGACGAAGGTGCCTTTTTATGTGCCCATTTGTGGGACTTTTAAAAAAAACAAAGCAATGCAACATTTGATAGCTGCACATGTAAGACAGGACACTGCTGTCTGTAAGTTCAGCCGATTTTTAATGTGTATATTGTATATCAATTTAAATGTGGTATGAGTATTTAGTTTAGGTTACCTTTTACATTCATTTGTGGATATTTATGACAATTTAAGTTTGAGGCAATGGGTTTAGTTGTACTCATTTAAGTTATGACCAGCAAGGTCAAAGAAGGTCATGAGTTGTTAATGGTAGAGGGTTTGTATCCATGATGTTTCAGCATGTGACTTTTTGTATTCAAATTATTTTCTATAAATTTCATGCCTCAACCAAAGCTTGCTGGTTTTTTCTTTTATCTATCTTTTATCCCTCCAAAGTTGTACACTAATATGTTGCACACAATGTAAGATGTTTTCAATTCAACTCACTTTTATTTTATTTATATAGGAGTAGCTTCAAGAGGGAAAAAAAAACTTAACAGGAAGAAACCTCAGACAGAACCAGACTCGGGTAGTTGCAACCAACTGGTGCAACTGGCTGGGGGGGGGGAGGCTAAAAAGACACTGGAGAGAGCAGAGCCTCGGCCTATGACTGAGGGAGGTTTCAGTGTCACCTGATCCAGCCTCAACTATGAATTGAATATTGGAGAAATATGCTCTCTTCTAGGCTCACTTTGGGTTGATTAAGATGTTCTTTGTGCTGGAAATACATTTGATTTTAGGTAAGGGAGGTCCTTTGGCAGATTCCACATTCAGCAGCACACAAGGCCCTCTTGTTAGCTGTGGTGATCTTGTGTGGTACTGCCCATCAGACTTCTTGTAGTTTGCCAATGTAACTGAATATACTTATTAAAAAGTAATTCATAACAGCTCAGCTGCTGTGTTAGATCGTTTTTCTCCTCTTGGCCTTTTATATCCGTGAGAGTATATATCCTTAATGCCTGCTTCTGTGCTTCATGCACTAGATTGAAGTATGACTGAAACGACTTTGAAATTACTGACTCTGGGAGTCTTTGCATATTTGGATTGAGCAGCACTGGTTTACAGACTTGTACCAACCACATGCTTCCATAGAGTGCCAACTCATACTTCTGTACTGTCTGGTCATTAAGAGGAGTTAATAGTGGGATTTGTGAGGGCTTTGATGGTAACTGAAAAACAAAATCTTGCTTTCTACAGCATTTGCTGCCTCCTAGTGGTGGCAAATTAGAAAATAATTAAGGTAGAAGCACTTTTGTTAAGCTTAGTGCGTACTAAACTCTCTACATTTATGCCTTTAAAATGCTAAATTGTTCCTGAGAAAACAATGTGTTTTAGAGTAGATCTCAGTGCACATTATCTAGTATAAAGCTTTAAAAGTGGGCCAACAGCATTTTAAAGGTGTTGCAGAAGGGGGCGCCATCATGCTACTGTAGTTTGTGAAGAGCTGGAAACGTAATATTTAAACAGTCAGTTATAGAGCCGCGCTGAATTTACTTGGAGTGAGCATCAACGTTTTTAAACTTGTTTTTGATCGTTTCTGTGAAACTAGAAAATGTTTTTACTTTAGAAACACAAAATCTGGCTAAACAGGGAATGCTAATGATGCAGATGTTAAAAAACATCAGTTTGGCTAACATTTTTCAGCTAAGAGTCTCTGGTTGGAGCTGAACTAGAGAAGCTGGACTTAGCCTTGGAGGCTATCTTATCAACCTGTGAGGTAAACTGGCAGATATTTAGTCTTTTCATTCTGCATTGCTGTAATCAATGTGGCACTTTTCCCACCAGGGAGTAACAAAGTCTGAAACTACAAAAACTGTAAAGTAACTCATCCATCATAACTTTGAACATTTACTCAGCATAAATGCTATCTTACCACGCAATCCTACAAAACACTCAAGTGTGTACTCTGAACATTCTGTTAGATGCTGGAATGACATTACAGCAATGCAAACAACCACTGCATTAAGTCAAGAGTTTTTAATGTAAAAAATACATTGTGTTCCAGCTACAAGATCATGGGTACTGTGTTTGAGATGTGATCAGCATCAACAATTCACTAGCCACTCCACCTACAAATTAATAAGTCTAAAAAAAAGTAATAAATATAAACTGATGATATTTATGTTTTGTTTTGTTTTTTTAAAAGCAGACACTTGTACCTGATAATTGAAAAAAGAAGGGGAAAAAAAGAGTTCCTCTCATAGTACTTAAAAAAACAACAACAATAAAAACCCTGAAACAAATTTCAGGAACATACATTAATCTCAATGACTGTAACAGGAGGCGTGGCTGTTAGTCACTCTTCTGCAGATGCTACCTCAGTTAAAAGTGCGATCACATTTTGTCAAAAAACACAAACGAATGATCCCCTTGTACAAATAACAAACCATATATACTGTTTGTTAATTCTGCATAGAGAGAACCAGTTACAGCTTTAAGAGTCCACAACAAACTTTCTCTAATACTGAAGGAGCAAAATGTAAACTGTCATCTCAAATTATCACCCCAAAAAAGAAGGCGATACTATTTAAAGCCACAATCCTTGATGAGAACTGATGGCCTGCTGCCCATCCGCTTTGGTTGTTTTGAAGGATGAGGTCCGGTCAGTGTCGTTACGTGTGTCTTTAACAAGCGTGTGACAGTGTTTGCGCAAAAAACAAAATAAAGTATGGAGACAAAGAGTTAAACGGAAAATGACAGTGTCAGTGCATCTCACTGTGCTCAGAAAGGCATCTATAGTTACATTCCTTGTAAACAGCAAAACTGAAAGGCAAGAACAAGGATTGTGCCTTTTTAAATAACTTCCTTAATATTCCCATTGACTCATAAGTACACACCAATATGTAAAACCAGCTGATCGCGCCTGTGTTCCATAATCTCAACATTTAACTTTAAATGTTCTGTCTAAATATCAAATGTTTGTATAAATATTTTTCACCCAATGTTCCCTTATTCTCAAAGCTCACAAGAACAGTATCAAAATACAACATAAAAAAAACGACAACAAAGAAGCTTATCTAAAAATCAACCTACAAACACTTGGGAGGGTTTCGTCACCATGGTAGCAGCAGAGAGGCATGGCAATGGTACTGCTCCATTTCCACAAAAACACACTGCGGAAGTGTCTGAAACACTGTTCCCACCAATCCCATGCCTTTACTGCCAAAATACTCCATAAATTACACTTTTACTAAAAAATAGAGTTTTTTTTCGTTCATCAGCATAAGAATAAAAAAAACAAAAAAACAATCCAGTGTCTGTCATACAACCACCTTGCCCTTGATATCCAGCTTGGTGTTTTCATTTGCTTTGCTGGACTGTTCCTCTGTAAGAGTGATGTACGAGTACACCAGGCTGCCAGCAATACTGCAACAAAATTGAGAGAGGTGACATGAAAATGTTGTATCAAAACAACATGCTACAGCACATCAAAGTTGTAGAACTAGAAATAAGATCCAGCTGACACATCTGAATTCCCACAGGGCTGGAATACAATATTATCTGTGTTAACAGAAACTTTTTATTTTCCCACCAGAAGAACAGATGCTGAGAACAGTTTGTATTTAAACTGAGAAACAAGAATTAACATGCTAGTGCTCATCATGCTATATTTAATCAGACTGTTTCATTTCTGATTCTGTATCAGATTTTTCATACTTCAACAGAAGTAACATTTTGTGCACCACTGCCCAATCTGCATAAAACTGAACCCCTACAGCCCCTCCTGTAGGTGGTGGGATCACAGGAGGGCAGACTTGTAACTACTTCAGGCTAAGTCTGTTCAGGCCCCTGTGGGCCATTCCCAGTTCCATGGTGGGACCCTGGAAACCAAGTCCCAGGCAGGATAAGCTGGTCCATTGATCTTTTGGCTCATATTGGTTTTCTGAACCACTCCAAGTTTCCTTTAGGAGACCCAACCAGAGGAAGATTGCCATTCACAACATAGTTTCTGGGATCTTTGGAAAACACAAACCCCTCTGCCACATTAAGGTAGCCATTCACAGAGGGGCAGTGGCCCAATCCTCAGTTTCTAGGACTAGCTAGCAATACATGGACTGTAACTTCTCTGGTGAAGCTTGTGGTGTATGGGGTTGAGATACTGATTACATATACCGGTAGTTGGGATCTGTAACCAGTTTCTTATAGAAGAGCTGGACTTTGTTCCACTTTGGAAGTGTCCCAGATCAGATAGCGAGCAGGGGTGGATATACTTGCATTCTACTACTACCAGAGAATATGCTCCAACTACACGGGTCCTGAGTTCTCACTCCCCTAGGGGAAGGTCCATGCCAGGGTATCAGAGAGGAGGGGGTGACAGTATTTAACCCTCAGATTCAGGAGAAACATGAGATCTGTTTACCTTATGTTCAAACCTAAGAAGTTAGTCCATGAGAAAATGTAGTCTCCACTGAGTACCATTCCAATGTATGTCACCAGGACATTCTGTAAAAATGGAGAAAACATTAACAAACCTGAGCATTTTGCATTGTTTTGTATTCAACAGTTCCCTCAAGCACGCAGCTCACCTTAATACAACCCACGATAGTAGTTGTTAATGCTGAGTTGTACTGTGTACACAGCACAGTAGAATACATCAGAATAAACCTGGGAAAAATAAATAAGTAATCATGTTGTAAATCACTCAACGTTTATTGGAGCCTGAAATTGGATTTCAAAATGTTAATGCAACATTGTAGACAAGCTGCAAGACAGAACTGAGACTGCAATACCGATCTAAGAGCAAATCACAGAAATTTGCCATCATCCAGATGTTGCACTGATAGTGAATTCACGCATGCCACATTTAATCTCAAGCCTGTAACTTACCCCATGACACACGACAGGGTGAACTGGGTGAGGAACAATGCATCCGACCAGCCCTCATATTCCACTGCCTGAAAGGAGAAGCAGAGTATGGGAAACACAAACGGACAACTAACAAATACATTAAACATTATATTTGTTTCAACATTAAAAGCAAAGAAAAAAACAATTGAAACACATTTGATTAGTAAAGTAAAATATTACATTAGTAGTTTTTGATGTATAATGTCACGCATTCACTTAAAGAAAGTGAGCAGCCTAAAAACTGAGGCGTTTTAGTTTATATCCATGGTGGTTGCTCAGTCAAGGGAAGTACTTGATGCTGCTGTAATAACTCTGCTAGGTGCATAATAGCATCTTTGTGCCTTTCTGGCTGCTGGGCCCCAGCTGGGCAACCCAGAATGTCTGCCAACACTGACCAAATGAAAAGACAGCTCATATTTACGGCACACACCCATGCTTAGACATATGTTTGCTCACTTAAATGCAGAATTAAACCAAGCAATAACTGTTCGGTACTGAAATCATAACAGCTCTGGTAAAAAAAAAAAAAAAAAGCATTAATTTAACAAATATAGTGTTAAAGTAGTAGAAGTAGAATAATAAATGCTAACTCCTCACCTTCTGCATATCTCCAGTCACATGAGCCAACAGCAGAGTGGGAATTATCATAAATAATGCATTGTAGTACAATAATCCATATTTCCCCAACTCCTGAAAAAATGAAAAGGGTAGAGAAGCAGGTGGGAAGGGAGCAACAGGAAAACACAAGTAATATGCAGAGCCAGAACAGAGTGCTATTCACAAGCCTTTCAGTGCATTCCTCACTAAGTAGCATACAGATGTCATGCATGGCACCACCTAAGACTTCTTGTGTATGCTCTGTTTCACATGGCTTCATCGGCTTCACCCCCTCACTCATACACACCCCTCTCGTAGTTGGAGCTCAGTCCTAGGAGATGGCGCTCCATAGGCGTCATACACTAAATTTGGATCGGCCCTTGCAGAAACGTGAGAACTGAGTAGTTCAGTTTGCCCTTGTGACATTAAATATGACTTGAACGAGCTTAAACAAGACATTTCGGAGTCAGTCCAAACAGATCTGAAGACTAATCTAAAAAAAAAATGTTTAGTTAAGCACAATGATATTTTACCAAAAGAATGAATCACAAATATTTTCTCTTAATCTAATCAAATTAGTGGGAGTAAAAAGAACTGACTCAATGTATTTCCACACGCCAAGTTCTTTTGAGCAAGATACTGAAGGACAGTTCGAGTTCTCTACATTCACACGTAATCAGCTCAATGCCAAATACAGCTCCCACCCAACAATGGTCACTATTCATCAGAACCGCCATCACATACCTTTGCGTCTAATTTTTGCTTTACATAGGCTCCGTTGGCTGCAGTCAGGATGTCGTTCAGGAGAATGAACATGTAGCCTTGCAGGTCAAATGATAAGTCAGCACTAGTATCAGAAAGAAGAAAAGGCAATCGAAAGTGTCAAGAAAATAAATAATGTGTTCAGTTGGCTAACATTTAAGCTGTAGTTAAGCTGCATTTAGGCAGGGCTCCTTTACAACTTCCTTGAAGATAATGGCAACTAAACTTGGACCTATATCCCGACAAAGCACCTCTTTGTAGTGAAGGTAAATCTTGGTTAACAGCCAGCACACCTGGATTTAGTAGAACTTACCTCGCGGCTATAAATGCCCCAAGGATCATTGTAAACACTGTCAGCTGAACTGGTCTGGAGAATTTCTTCCTGCCACAAATTAAATACAGTAAAGAAATTCAATATGACCACTTAGAACTGGAACCGAACAAAAAAAGGACCAGTAAATGGCGAAGAAAAGTAGGTTATCTGTTGTGTGGGATCTTACTTGAGCAGAAATCCCTCGGCCAGCATAGTGAATAAGATCGAGAACCTCCTGAGGACTGTAAACATGGGCAGACTGGTGCACCAGGGCGTAAACGGTGACAGAAAATCCATTAAACAAAAAACATCAACATTAATAGCCAAATAGTTTTTAACTGTGTGAATTTTTACAAAATGCGGAGCTTACTTTAGCCTTTTGGTTCCAAATAAACCAGTGATTTGATTTCCCACATACAGGAGAGGTAGAGGAAATGTCTAGGGAAAAAAAGGATAGGGAGGTTTTGTTAAGTAGGAACAGCTCCAGCATGGTTAAATGAATTATCTGATGGACAGGCAGCGATCACCATAAACCTGACCTATTCCAGTTCCTGGGGGGGGGGCAATGCCATTTTTCAAAGGGTGAAGAAAAAAATAAAGGCTAATATATCTAATGCATATAGAGTATGCTAGTTTTCAGCAATATATTTCAAAATCTAGTTAGACACAGCTTGACTTAATGCATAAATGCTTTGAGGTTACAAGCCACTTACTCTATGTGTACAGTGCTTAATGTGTCACACAATTTGGGGTTCAATATTTAGCCCAAAAACATTTATACCTTTCCTATTAAAATATAATAACTCTGTATACTTTCTAAACCACAGTCACTTCAGGTACTGCAGACACTGCTAAACTATTTCTAATGAATCTGTTTTCTTTTTTTTAATATATGTCAATACTGAGATGCTATTAATGGGAAAATAGTTGCTTATATTGGCCAAATTATACATGTTAGGCCTCTGCATTTGATATTTGGACTGTTTATTAAGAGATGAACAGACTGCATATGGACCTCTGGAAACTAGTAATAAATGACTGGTACTCTTCATTTAGAATATCTCACCTTGCGAGGTATGGTCTCATCGCAGTCTGGGAAGCTGATCACCCTTGCAGCCTTGCCCACCCACAGCACAATCACCGTGGCTAACATCTGCACAGAGATTCATGAAGAAATCAGTGTCGATACCTGCCTGGTTTTAAGGTGTGGTGTCAGCTTGGTTAACGTAAAAGAAGAAGTTACACGTATCACGTACTTGTCCTATTCCGACACATATCGACGACGGGAACCTGAAAAAGTAGAGATGAAACTCCAGTAAATTTTAATGCTTTAGAAGTTCAGCACACTGTAGTTAGTAAGCTAACCTCGTACTTAACACTCAAGGGTTAAAATGTTGCCCAACACAGGCAACAGAAAGAGAGGCTCCCTGCAGTGTGAACCACAAGATTACCATCACTGGATAAAAGTTGCCGTTAGGCTAATCAGCACCGTGGTGTTGCCTGCTCTGCTCAGCCTGCACAACTTCCACAAGCTAGGTTAGCTAGCATGGAAACAGCTTATCGACCGTAACCGTTACAGGCGTTACCGCTATGCCGTTACCTGTAGTTAGTGAGGACACTCTTGTTCACCACGACGATCAGGAACGAGCTGAGACCGTAAAACCCGGCGGCAAACAGCTTCACGACCAGCGTCGGAGGTTTGTCCGCCATCCCCGACAAGTTCTCATTCCTCTCTGAGAGTCGGCTCTTCCCCTGCCCATCACTTCTTCACTGTAGGCTCACCCACCTACACACACACACACGTTTCACAACTTCCGCCCCAAGTCTGAGCATCACATTACGCGCAACAAATTTAACCACGAAATTTAACCATGAAATGAACGAGTTTTTTTTTTTGTTTGTTTGTACAAAGCTAGCACTGCGAATGAAATCACCAGCCAGGCTTAGCTTATTTTTTGCATTCTACTTTCTTTTGACATGGAGCATTAAACTTAAAGCAAGAATTGGACGGATATTTGATCTTTCCTGCAGCTTTATTATCCCCCCAGCTTTCACAAACCCATCTGATTTACAGGCAGGTCGGCACTTCCCGGTTTTTAACGTGACATGTGATGCGATTAGTCCAATCACAAATTAGAAGGGTTTTTGTTGTTGTTGTTGTTCTTTATTACATGTAATTGGGGGTTAGGCGAGATAAGTTATTTATTCACCACATTTCAAACACCACAGCTAGCCAAGATAAATTCAAAATCCAAGATAAAAGATAATAACGGCAATAACAATAAAAACAACAAAAATTAAAACAAGGGCGATGGCACAGCTACACTGTTAGTTAAAAGCAACCGTGAATCTAAAGCTGTGCTCTTTACAAAATAGCTAGGGTTGGAGACGATGTGACCGCAATGGGTAGCTGGTTCCAAAATGCCCAAATGCAATAGATATTTATTGAAAATGTTTATGGTGGCAACTACGAAGGCTATAACTAGGCATTGCCTCCTACAGGGCAATGGGTTGTTTGGAAGAATTATAATAAAAATACATTTAAAAAACAGAAATGTACATATGTGAACTGTTAGGTAACCAGATCTTGCAGACCTTGAGATCTACTAGGTTTGTATACATTAAACACTATAGATTTATATTTAGGGCCAAAATCATTCAAAGATGTATAAACAATCTGTAATATTTTAAATTTAATTCTGTATTTTACTGGAAGCCAATGCAGGGAGACGACAATTGGAGTGATATGGGAGGCCAAGGAAAAGATCATTGCAACAGTCTACAGAAAAATAGGCATGAATGAGCTTCTCCAGATAAAAATATCTCAGTTTAGCCAAATTACTAAGATCCCAAAAGGCTGATTTAGTTACAGCACAAATATAGTCAGTGAAACTAAAGCCCTCTTTTATTGTTGCACCAAGATTTTTCACACAAGTTTTAGATTTGTGGTTTTACATATACAGATATAAAGTTATAAGTAACCCATGCAATTAATTGCATGAATCGTATTTCACACTATGATCACGTGCAGCAGCAGTATAAAATGTATCTCCAAAAGTTGATTCTGTACATCTGGACGTAGCGTTTTCAGTGGGAGAAACATTTCGTCACTCATCCAAGTGACTTCTTCAGTTTCTGGTGACTACAGGTTTCCCCGGTCTTCTAAACAGTACATTTGCATAATGACTGTTGTTGATCAACAGTCATGAGAATATGCATAATCATGATGAAGGAACTGACCTCCCAGGCCATTGTTCCTTCAGTGGGCTGTTTTCAGTCATTAAACACAGCACATGACAGGAACAAGTATGTTCTGGAGACAACAGAGCTCTGAGGGTCCGAAATATGCTCACCTCACCTAATTCCAAGGTGCACGTTCAGAGGTTAAAGCTACAGCAACATGTGTAGGAAATGTCATAACTTTATTGTTTGACTAACATATTTTCAGCTTATTGCCTTCATCATGACCCTGATGAAGTAATAAGCTGAAATTTGTCAGACAACAATAACTTGTTGATCCTTGGAGAAAAGGAATAGGAAAGGTTGTCAAGATGGGCCTTTGTTGATGGGGGTTTACTTTTCTTCCTTGGGCTATTCCTGATTAGTTTGCTGGAGCATTGAGGCCACGGCTATTGGGACGATTAAAAAATGTGATGCTTTTATCCCAAACATGAATGGATATTAAAAGTCTTCTGGATAATGAGTTTGGTTTGCTAGAGTTCACACAGATTTACACAAAACTGGTGAAGGTGAATTTGATTCAAAGCAGATAATTTTTGTTTTCTTTCAATCTAGTTTTAAGAAAAAATGCCAGGCTGTAATATCTCATTAATTGTTGGATGGATTGTCTTGAATTGTGTTTTATATTTGTGACTCTTGTTAAAGATTATTAACAGTTTTCTGTCACTTTAATTAACAGGTTGTATTTTAAACCTAATTTTCTTTCCTATATTTTGAGGGTTGTAGATTATAAAGGCTTGAAATAAAGCATTAACGCACACGAGGGAAATGTTAAGATATGTGCAGATAAGATTAAGAGATTTATTGCTGCCTCATATCTGTCCTATGATCAGGAATGTCTTGAACTTCTGTCCTTTGCCATTTATATCTGCTATGTATGTGGTAGAGTTCTTGTAGCATTACTCATCATGTTGCCGTCTTAGGACATACATACTACATTTATTTATATATGTATAGACATATAAAATGTGTGTGTATGTGCACCCCCATGGGCTAAGGTGTAACCACCAGGTGCTCTTTCCATCTGATGTTTTCTTTTCCATAGGGGTCATATGAATGGCTCCTACAGCTGAGGTGGTTAGGCATCTAATCAGGCTGCCTCCTGGGCGAGGTGTTCTAGGCATGTCCAAACGGAAGGACGCCCCAGGGTACACCCTTGCCACAGAGAGATTACATCTCTTGGCTGGCCTGGGAACACCTCAGTATTCACCAAGGTGAGATGGAGGAGGTAGCTGGGGAGATGGAGGTATGGGTTTCTCCAGAGGCTGCTGTCTCCTGGATAAGCGGTTTGGCACTCCAAACCACTGTAAGAGGGGTACATTTGGCAATTGAGGCACTTGAGGTTCTCAAACTGTGGCCCGGCCCACAGTTTGAGAACCTCTGTGTTACTGTATGCCCTGTGCAGACTTTGTTAATCACATTGTTTAAATTTTACAAAATACATTGTATTCACATTCTTGACATTGAAATCTGGGTTTTATGGTAACCTGCTTGCAAAAATGTATTTTCTGTGCAATAGCTCACAGTAGCTATTGCACAGAAAAAGTAGTCCCTCAGGGAAAAAGGTCTACACTGATTCAGTGTTAAAAATTATAACTATCTCCAATACATGCTTCAATTTACTATACAGACTCCAAGCTGTATAATCCTCATATATTAATTTTATCTAAAAATAAAAAAACAAAAACAAGAAACCCCCCCAAGCCTTTCAGTATCAAGAAATTCACAGTATATTTATTTCTTCTAGACAGAGTGGGGAGTCATTTTAACCTGAGCTTTTACAAAATGATGATAATAAATGATCACTGAATAAAGGCCAGCTTCCTGACCTTACCTTGAAAAAGCCCTTGTGTATTTTGGCAGGTGGTTGTGGGATAAAAACCCTGACGTGTCTCTGATAAGAATTGTGTCTGTGCATGTGCCACGTTGTCAAACAGTGAGTACAGTGGTAAATTCAGCCCCTCACTAATTTCATTTTCTTCAAAACACAGAAGGGGACATCTCGCCTGAGCCATGTCTGGACTGAATGCGTCTCTCGGATACTTTGTGGCTGCTGTGACTTTTGTAGTCTCAGTTCGATTTCTCCTTAAAAAACGGCCACGGTTCAGCTTCATCTCAGAGTTTACATCTTCTTTTATGCTGGTGGCATGTTGGCTGGAGGTGCAGACCATCGTGGAGGTGGGCGAGTGGGCCGGGGGTTTGGGCCCTGATGTGACTTTAACCATACTGTTTGTGGTATTGCTCACACACGGTATAATCTGTGGTGATGCATCAGGGAATCCCAGCCTGGCTGTGCAGAAATTCATGAAGCTTGAGGCCACCACCGTAACCACACTGCTTGATGTTGCTGCCCAGTTTATTGGGGCTCACCTAGGCCTTCTTGCAGCCAAATACTACTGGAGCCTGGAGCTGACAGACATGCACATGATCAAAAACCTGATGATCAGTGAGTGCAGCACATCTCTGCTGGTTTCTGTGCTTCAGGGATTTTTTACCGAGTTTGCCTGTGCCCTCATCTTGCACATCATCCACTTAAACCTATGCCGCCGATCTGCTCTGATCAGAGTGCCGCTGATTGCTGTCCTCCTAACATTCCTGTCCCATTCAGGTAAGCCTGGGAATAACTGGCTTTCCTAATCTTTGTATTATTTAAACGTTTTACCTTCTGCTTTTTGGGATCCATTATTTGCATCCATTTTTTTTTTTTTTACTTTGAAAGTTCAGAGGACTTAAAGCTGGAAATTTAACAAAAACTGTATTTTCCTATTCTTTTCTTCAGCCAAAGGTTATACCTCAGCTTACATGAATCCATCACTGGCATATGGACTCACCTTCCACTGTTCTGGATTTACCTTTGCAGAGTATGCAGTGGTTTACTGGCTGGGCTCTCTCACAGGTAAACTGATTAAATGTGCATGTCCTTTCAGGTCTTAAAAAATTAACACAATACATAAAATAAACATTTGATTTCTAGGTATGACTTTGGCTGTTCTCCTGTACATGGGCCATATTCCCAGAATCTTTGCCAAGAATCTGCTATACTCCCAGAAGACACGTTTCAGAGTGCCCAAGACAGACAAAGCAGAAATGCAAATCTTTACTTACCAGTGCTCAGCTGTAAAGAGATGTTTTTAATTTAACAATTTATCAAAAATAAAATCTTCAAATTTTGTCCTCCGTTTCTTTTTTAATCATGACATACGTTTTTATTTGAAAAAAAAAGAAAAAAAAACAATTTACAAGATACATATGATTTTTTTAGCAATGTTAGAGTGTTAGCATAAATAAAAAAAAAAACAACCCTTGTAATCAGAAATAAAAAAAAAAAAAAACAAAAAAAAAAAAAAAAAAAAAAAGTCAATAAAATTAAAAGAAGTAATTTCATTTAATAACATTAAAAAAAATAAAAAAAAACCTTCTCTAGTCTGTGGGTGGATGTGACACAACAAAACTATATATTGCTTTTATTAAGAACCAGTCCTTTGTATGTTAAGCAAATAGAGCAGAGCCATGGCTGCTACGTGCTGGTAGCACCTGGAGCAGAACTGAGTTTTGATGTCTGTGACCCGTCATTCTTTGTGTCTTTTGGCTGATTTTTAGCAGAAGTGATTGAATCTGTATGAAAGAAAGAAAAAACAATCAGCACAAATTTTTTGTCATAAAAGTCCCGTGCAAGAAAACATGAATTTCATTAACATTACTGATGTTGGCAGTATGCTTATATAAGCCATATTGTGTTATGGTATGTTTCGTCTTAGATATAAGTTTTAAGTTTGTCACCTTTCTGCTTTTGCTGCTCCAGCTGAGCCTCAGCTCGGTCTGCCCATAAACAGTAATCTGGATTATTCAGTAAGGTCTTCCTCTGTCCACAACTGAGACATCTCATCACGGTAAAACGAGTCTTGCTGTTTTTTCCTTATTAAAGAAATTCAGTTTAAATAAATAAATAAGTAATTTTTTAAATATTTATTCATTATCAACCATTTCTGAAACACAGGACAGAAAGTGACATCCTACATTAAGTAGGGACTGAAAGATAATAGGGGCTTACGTTTTTGTCTTGTTGTAGCAGTTACACCTGGGATGAGCAAAGAGCAGCACCTCTTGCACAATGTCCTCTTCACCGATGGATCTCTACATAAATTGAAACATTAAAATGTTAGTCCATCTTTAAGTACATTCTGATTTTACTACTGTCCATCAGCTCCAAGACCAGTCTCATGTAAATATATGTGAATCTACACACAGCTACACATTAACATCATAACACTTGTCCACACATTGTCAGTGTGAGACTGCTCTCATGTGTGAATACAGCAGGGTAAACGTGGCAGATGTTCCAGACAAATGCCAACTGAGCTGCTGGTCCTTATGTGTGCTTGTGTAGTTCGTACGGTATCGTATATTTAACACTATTTCAATAACTTGTTGGGTTTTTTTTTTAAATGTGACATTTTCATCTCAGTAGTTCAATACTTGATCTAAAGGGAGCTCTGTGGCACGCCGAAATATCCTGCATTACTCTTTTGCTCCCCAGACAATGTGATCAACGGGATTTGTTAAAAATCAGTATTTAAGTACACGTGATTATCATCTCAACTTACTGTCTGAGAACGAGACGCTTTGCAATCGTCTTCTGTGAGAAGCAGAAGAAACGAGCCAGCTCCACATTTTCCGGATTTTGAGCTAAAACACAATGTGCAGCCTGTGGACAAAACGTAAGAAACCAGCTGAGCGACCACATTCAAAACAGAGAGCATGCTAGCATTTATGTAGCATGTGACTGTAGCTGGAAGCATCGTGACGATAATTAACTAAAACTTTCTCCAACCTGGTAAAGGTAGTTCAGTCTCTGGTAAGCTTCTTTGTCTTTCAAGTGGAGCGCCATTACACACAAAAGTCAGATAACAAATTAGCCCTAATAGTAACAGCGGATTACTTCTAACTACAGAAGTATGACCCTCTGAAAGTAGCTACAACTAATATACTTCCGGGTTAATCCTTCAAAATAAAGGCACACAACGTGATTCACACCTCGGAAAATCAAAAACGCTAAATCATCAGATTAGGAATTAACTGTCTACAACAATTCAAAGACCCGACAAGCATCTTGTATCTTTGTAGTTTAGTTATATCAACATCAAACCATATCACAGAGAAATTATTCATTGATTCTACAACCAATTAATTGCAAGGCTTGTAATTCTTTTTCTATACTACTTTGACTTTGTGTGGCTTACGAAGTAACGGATGATCTCTTTACACATCAATCACATTCACATCCAAATCACAAAAGTAAAAACAGTTGAATTTATTTGAGTGTGCAGACAAAGTCGTTAGTTGTCCAGAAGAGAAACCGTTAACAAATTGTCTTTACCAGCCTTTGTATCCAACCAGTATCATATGGTCACGTTTTTCAAACTAGTTAAGTACACAATATACACATGGAAAAACAAGAGCATTTGTTTAGTCAACACGAACACAAAGGACAAAGTTCAACATACAATACTCATTTTTAATAACAACAGAGAAGAAAGTAGAAACCCTGTCAATCTAACATTTTAATTTACCTGTAAGGTGCGCCTCTGGTATCAGGAGACTATAAAGATACAGGGGAAGAACAGGTACAGTAGCTCTGTTGTGTGTAACAAATGTAGAACGACATAATCACAACACATGTTCATGATGATGACTCCACTGAAATCTTTCCTATAAAACCAATAAAAGAAATGTCCTTAAACAATGGGTGGATGTGGAAATAGCACAAGTGTTCACTGAATGAGACAATATGTGACAAGAAGGGGGACAAACATAAAATTCAAGTATCAAAATAACTAAGACACCAACAAGCTGAAAAGATCAATTACAAAGGTAGTAAAAATCATGGGAAGAGAGACACTGAGACAATCAACAATACATTAGGCAACATTTTGCATTTGTTTAAGGCAGTTGATTAAAAAAAACTAAGTAGAACTAGGCATCTTCTTCATTCCAAGTTAAATACAAGCCTAGCCCTAACTTATCACCAGAAGAGTTGATGTACAAAATTAACTATGCCCGACTCTGATACTACGCACTTGAGTTTGACTTGTCTTCTGACATCTGAGAATGAATAGAGTTCATATGGACAGCGGTGGGGTTGTGCTCTAGATTTTTGGTCTTCTTCACAGTGAGGTTTGTCAGGGCTTATAAGGCTGGTGCATCAAGAGTGGCGCACCACTCTCAGCCTATTGTCTGGCACAAAATCTAAATAGTTGGCACATATCTGTGCACAGCATGGGAAGGCAGGATAGCTACTTTCATCAGCTAACGATTGCTCTTCATGGCCTCCTTGGCTGCCAAGATGAGAGGTGTGAGACTGGAGAGGGGTTTCGCCAGCTTCAAAAATGGATGCTGAAAAAGATGTGGATGTGAAAAGAGAATATTACTGGCCTGAAACACAAACAAAGTAAAACACTGAAGAGTTCAAAGAGTAGCCAATAACTGGAAACGTTTGTAACCTGCAGGAGCTCTTTGCCACTGCCTCTTTTCTCTACATCCATTTCCAGGCACAGGTTAGAAAATCTCTGAAAATTGGAGACAGCTTCTCAGGATTCTGAAGCTCAGGTGTGCCATTTGTAGCAATTAGGTATAATGCCTGCCAAAGGGGAAGAGACAAACAAACAAAAACTTTAAAAGCAGAGTTTTGGGAAACAACACACTTAAAGGAAATGAATCAAGTCAAACTGGCTGAGAGGGAAATGTACTACAAAAGTTAATGCTGCACAACTTTCTATATTTGCCTGGGATATTCCAATCCACATGAGCACATTCCACACAAGAAGTGAAGCTTGTCACTTATAAAGTAAACAGACCAAGAGCGACAAAGTCAGAAAAAGCAAAGTGTGAAATATAGGGTAATAAAGTTCATTATAGTGGTAAAAAGGAGCAGGGTGTAAAATCAGAAAACGTTAAAAATAAACAAAGACAAGTGTTTATCCTGCTTTTCTGTTGAATCATGGGAGTCTATGGCCCACAGTTATTTTCTAACTACACCAAAAGTCCGACAGACACAAATCACCGATTCAGTTTTAAGTGATTTACTGTGACCTTGTAGACACTGTACAGATGAATAAATTGGAAACATTTCATTTAAAAATGGTATATATTTCCCTACGCTGCTCTACACTATATTAAAGGTGTCTAAACCAAAATGTGTGAAAGTGTTCTGCACTCACTCGTAGTGGATTCTCATTCAGGTAGGGAGGTTCTCCTTCAACCATCTCAATGGCCATAATACCCAGTGACCAAATATCTACTTTAGGCCCATAAGCCTTTCTGGTCACCACTTCAGGAGCCATCCAGTAAGGCGTGCCTACCATGGTGCTGCGTTTGCTCTGCTCTGGAGTGATCTGGGCGCAAAAGCCAAAATCGGCTGTCGAAGACATGAAGAAGAGTGAAACAATTTACACCGGAAGGATTTAACAATGCAATATTTATCATAATTACAGCACAGGACTCACTCAGCTTGACAGAACCATCCATCCCAAGCAGCACATTGTCACTTTTGATGTCTCTGTGGATGACCTGATTTGCGTGTAGGAAATCCAATGCTTGTAAACACTGGATGAAAAAAAGAATTGAGAGAGGGAAAGATGGCGTTTTTTATTATACCTTTTACATAAAGTGGGGGTCAGTTTGTTTTACAGGACTGCAAAATGTAACGTACCTCTCGGCAGACAGCAGCTATCTGGGCCTCATCCATGCAGGTCTCTGTAACCACATCTGTCAGCGAGCCACCAGCAAGATATTCCATCACCACAAATAACTCCTCCCCCATCAGGAAACTGGCACATAAAACAAACGCATGTGAACAATCAGACAAAAAGTACTGTAAAAAAGTTTAAAAACCTGCCAGGCTGTAGGTTTACGTTCACTCTCACCTGTCTAAAAAGTTGACAATGTTTGGGTTCTTGAGCTCCTTCATCACTAGAATCTCGTTGATGATCAGCTCCTTCTTCGGCTGCTTTTGTAAGTTGATCTGTTTAATGGCGACCTGGCAGTGTGAAAAAACATATATGACCTTTAGTTCACTCTAGGTTTAACATTCAAAAATCTTTCCTCCTAATGTAAAGTGTCACACAGTAAGTAAGAAAAACACATACGCATATGCCTTTAAGAGATAAAATGAGTTTCTAAGCAGTTTAGTGGATTTAGTGGTTGGTGCAGATGCTGGACTTTAGATACTTCTTGTTGCATAACAGATAGCTCTTGCTCAGTTTAACTTAATTCAACTTCTTCATTTTTTGTTTGCTACAATTAAAATAATAAAACTTTGTTTTTTATTGAGCTAGATTGCTTTTGATATTTGTGGCTACTATGACACAATAATTTATCATTTCTGGGGATAAATAAAGTACATCGTTCATCAGATCTACTTGTCAGGTGCATTGATGGAGACCCAACGCACTGCAGTTCTCACTTTAAAGTTGTTTGGATGGGTCTCCCTGTTATTCTGGCTACACAGCCAACTACTCACAACACTTACAAAATTCCTGGCAACCCAGATCATTACAAACTTCACTCCACAGCAACGTCTCAAATGTACCACCTGAACACCTTCACCATGTTATCTCTCTAGTAAAACTCCCTAAAAGCTCTTTCTAGCTACAACATGTTCAGTGTTCATCTGCTCACTATAAACTAAAACTGTGCACCTACGTATTACCACCCAAATAATCTTTTTAGTAACTACCAGCTGCCTCACAATCATTTTTATAAGCAAATAATAAAAAATAAACAAAAGGTGCAGTCCAATCCTTTCAAAAATGGCTTTAGCTTGTCACTCAGCCCCGCTTGCTATGATCCATATTATTTTTCTTTTTTTTGATACCACCTAGTCCATTACTTATTTAGTCTTTACCTCCTGTCCTGTGGATACATCAATGGCTGTGAATACTGTTCCTGATGCCCTGTAAAAAGAGGAAGATTATTTATTTACTTCAACACATATTCTAAGAAACTATACACTCACAATTATTCTTCAAATGCATTTTTACTCACTAAATGTTTTACTTAAAGTCAGTAATACTGAAGAGAATTTATGTTTGTATGAGTTGAGAGGAATCACATCTTGATTAGGAATGTACTACCTGAGAAAAACAAGTATTCATGTGTAACTTATAAATAACTTGTCAATCTTATAAAGTAAACTTTGACATTAAACCCGATGCTGAAGATTCTCCGACCTAAAAGCTGGTTGTGAAATTTCACTTTCTGTTTTTGGGTGGGATGATCAGAAGTAAAAACAGAGTCAAACTGCTATACTGTTTTGTTTTTATAACACCTTCTGGAAAAAGCTTTTAAAAATCCTGCTCTGGAGAAACAAGGAATTTTAAAACATTAAACATATTAATCAACATTAATAATATGACACATCTGCTATTAATAATGAAAGTTATTAGTCTACTACTATTTTTTCTCATGGTAACATTGCTCCAGGGCCTTTTCACAACAGAAAAAAAGAACTTGTCAAACTAGAAATGGTGAAACTGTTACAGACAAGACCGCCCTCCTGGCAAAATTTGCCAGTAAATAACTTCACCAGTTTAAAACTCAGCTCCTCCTATTGTGAGTATCTACAAGAGACTGAACAATAACAATCTCTGGTGATTTAAAAATCTCATATCGCATATCAACTGATACCGTTTCTTTCAGATACAGCAAACAAACTTTCATTGTTATTTATTAGTTAATGTATCAGTCCCTGCTAAGATAATATAACAGTCCATTTTAAAAACAAACTTGTTCATACAGCTACAAGCAGATGTGAATTACTCCTTTACGTTGCTTGTGGCATTTCAAACACTTGCTCCCAAGAGGAAACTTGTAGAGCGGCCTCTGACGAATAAACTATTCAGTATCAGCACTACTAACGTGGACCAAGTGTGTTTTGCCTATCGCTTCCTCACTTTCTAATTTTGCATTTCAGCCATTCGAAATGTTGTTACCTATGTATATGCAAATGGATAATATCGATCAAGCCCTACAATCTGATATCAAAAAGGCTATTCGCTGTAAATATTTAATTAGGTCTGGACAATAAAGATTGAAAATCAACTGCCTGTTTTATAACATAAACAATTAAAACTGTAATATAAAAAGTAACTCACCCC